TTTGTGGGGGAGAGATTATTACAACAACAGGACAGGACGCGGAAGTTTATTTACCCTTCCCATCTCAGCCAGTAGTGAGCAACACAGATCACTATCCTGGTAAAATTTTAGGAAGAAGCTCTCAGGAGAGGCCTCAGGATAAAGTCCTCACCTTGAACGTGCCAGGATCCCATATGGGCGCCGGTTCTAATCCTGGCAGCTCCACTTCCCATCCAGCTCCCTGCTTGTGGCCTGGGAAAGCAGTTGAGGATGGCCCAAGGCTTTGGGACCCTGCACCTGCTTGGGAGATCCGGAACAGATTCCTGGTTCCCGGCTTCGGATCGGCTCAGCACCGGCTGTTGAGCTCACTTGATGAGTGAATCATCGGATGGAAGATCTTTCTCTCTGCCTCTCCTCCTCTCTGTATATCTGACTTTGTAATAAAAATAAATAAATCTTAAAAAAAAAAAAAAAAGAAGCTCTCAGGGAAAAATAAAGTCAGTTCCTATAAAACAAAATCACGGCCAATATGGTCTGAGTTTTTCTTAGGGGCCACTGAGTTTATGAAACCATCATCAATACCTATTTTATGGAAATCTGATTTGCCTGTGTGGACACCTCAATGGTCCTTTAACCAACAAAAATCACAGGCTTCAGAATTCTTAGTTCAGGAACAACTACAAGGGAACCATGTAGAAGAGTCTTTCTCCCCGTGGAATTCCCAGTTTTTGTAATTAAAAAGAAGTCAGGTACGTGGTGATTGTTAATTGATCTCCAAAATGCAAATGCTACTATGACCCCTGTGGGCACCCTCCAGCCTGGTTTGCCTAATCCTTCTACAACCATTGGAACCGCAGCTTCCCGGAGACAACTCCAGCTGGGTTTTGACAAGAGATTGAAAAACAGAACCCAGCCAGGCTGTGTGTCTGCTGCCCCCAGGCGGCCTGCTCCGACAGGACTAGCGGCCACAGGTGCGACGGACACGCTGACACAGGAAGGCCATTTGCTAAAGCCAACAGCCAGCACCCAGTGCTCACCTGGCGCAGGTAGACTTCCATCCACGTGAGCGGGAGGAGCCAGGATGGGGGGCGAGAGACTCTGAGACCAACCCGAGTTGGAGCTCCCTTCTGAGACACTGCATTCAGACTGCCAGACCACTGTGGACAAGGCAACCATGTGAATCGGGCTGTGTGAAGACAGGTGCGGCTGGAGCATGGAAGGAAGCCTGTGGCTCTCTTTCCCCTATAACCTGGACACTCTCCTAACCCTTGCTATGAAAGCCCTCCACCCTCAGACTGCTTCTGTTGGACCCATGCCTCCCACTGTCTCCTTGTCCGCAGTAAGTAAATCTTTCCTCTGAGCATCACCTGCTTGAGGCTGATTGGGAACATTCCAAACAGATGGACCGCCAGTGTCCATTAAAAGTTCCAATTAACACAAAATGGCAATTAGCTGAAACTGGTATAATGCTAAGTTTGCCAATGGAGTCTATAGTAAAAGGGTTCTATATGTTGGGTCACGTATATTGGCATGTGGGTAAAGCTGATCCCTGTGATGCCAACATTCCATATGGGCAAGAGTTCATGTCCCATCTGCTCCACTTCTGATCATCTCCGTGCTAATGGCCTGGGAAAGCAGAAGATGGCCCCACAGACCTGCCACCCGCCTGGAAGACCCCGATGAAGCTCCTTGCTTCAGCCTGGCCCAGCACTGGCTGTTGAGGCCAGCTGGGGCATGAACCGCCAAAAGAAGATCTCTGTCCCTCTCAAATCAAGACTTCCAGAGCTCACAAATTAAATCACTGCATTAACAGCAAGCAATAAAGAACATTATGTTAGCTAAAAAAATTATATTAATACTCACTGAGCAACAGAGGTGGGAGGGGAACATCACAGCGCAAGTGACAAAAACCAGAACACAGTTAGGAATGCATTTACACAGAAAGCTAAAAAATCCATATGCGGAAATGGTAAGATCTGATTGGAGGATCTAAAAGAACTTTTAGATCCATTTCATATCCTCCAAAGTAAGTTACTACAAAAACATCGGCTCTCCTGAAACTTGCATTTAAATTTTATGCCAATACAATTATACCCCCAGTGGCACTTTTAAGATTGATATGGCAGCAAATCAAAGTGATTTAAAATTTCACATAATACATTCCAAGAAGAAATCTTGGAAAGGATTAAATAGTGAAAAACATTAAAAGACAACCAATACGGGCCCGGCGCGGTGGCGCAAGTGGTTAAAGGTCCTCGCCTTGCACGCCCGGGATCCCATATGGGCGCCGGTTCTAATCCCGGCAGCCCCGCTTCCCTTCCAGCTCCCTGCCTGTGGCCCAGGAAAGCAGTTGAAGACGGCCCAAAGCTTTGGGACCCTGCACCCGCGTGGGAGACCCGGAAGAGGCTCCTGGCTTCGGATCGGCATAGTATCAGCACGTTGCACTCACTTGGGGAGTGAATCATCGGACGGAAAATCTTCCTCTCTGTCTCTCCTCTCTGTATATCGCCTTTCCAATAAAAATAAATAATAAAAATAAATCTTTAAAAAAAAAAAAAAAGACAACCAATACACTCAACGTTTAGTCCTCACCTGTGCTCCTGATCACAGGACGCCTCCTTCGGACTGGACTTTCTGTAGCAGCTTCTGGACACCTAGGGGTCCACACCCGACGAAGTGTAACATGGACCATGACCCAAGTGGCCCAGTGAATCAACAGAGGCAGAAAGAAAACAAAGCTCGCCTCCTATCCGGCAGCTGATACACACCCAAATAGAAAAAAAAACAGCAACAAAATGGAGGAGAACGCTTGCGGAGGGCGGAGGAAGGGACAGAGGTTACGCCAAAATCGAAAACCACTTATGTTTCAGTAAACACCAGAAGGCAGAGTTCAAACCTGTGGGTAGCAGGCCTCAGGGGAGTCGGAGAGGCCTCCGGAGTTTGAGCTTCCAGGACTGGGCCGGCAAAACGGGGGAGGGGGAAAAAATAGCAGTTTCCAAGCCTTCCACTTGGCAGAAAAACAAAATGTTGCCTTGTAGCTACTGAAAACCAGTTAGAAAAGTACTGAAAAAAAAAGTTTTTTAAAAAGTTCAGCTGCACTTGGGGTGTGGGCCGTGAAGTGCACTCTCAGAGGCAGAGCAAGCGCCAGGAACTCAGTCCCCGCAAGGGCGAGCATTCACCCCACCGCGCCCTCAACTCCGTCAGACTCCCGAAGCGAAGCGTCTGCCGCTCCTGTGCAGGGCGTGCAGCATCTACCGCACCTGTGCAGGGCATGAAGCACGCGCCGCCCTGCAGATGCCACGAGGAGATCCCGATCTGGCCGTTAGCGGTTGAGGGCCATCAGCTGACCACCCCCAAAGCCTCTAGAGGAGAACGAGCAGGTGCTAGATCCTGACCTCATCCGTTGGGTCAGGTGAGAACTGACCGTCAGCCCTGAGGCACAGTGTGCTCCCCTGGCAGCTGATGATTTTCAGAGTAAGAAATTCAGACGGCCACACAGGTTTCTCATCTCTTGCCCCACCACAGCAACCCCAAACCTAGCTAGGGAGGAGTGGGTTTATAATGGTGGGACTTTGGGGAGGGGACAGAGAGCCTACAACTTTGAATCAAGGGGGAAAAAGGGAAGTTGGGGAGGGAGGGCAGGCAGAAAATAATAGCAGCTGGTTAGGGCTGCCCACGGCCTCTGGATGGATTTCAGGTGGACAATCAACCTCTTGCTTTGACTAAACTACAAACTTTCATCATTTCACAGGGAGCCCTGGTGGGCGGTGATTTGAGTGCAACTTGGTGAGCTGGAAGGAGAAAAAAAAAAAAAAAATCCTGTAGGATCCATGAGCAGCCCTGGTCAGGTACTGGCCCAATACAAATAACCAGATGACAAGTAGTCTGCAAAACAAACTTGGCAACTTCCCGTCTCATCTGCCGAGCGGGATGTGCATGGCTAGATCCTTCCCCTCACACCTGGCTCACCATGGAGAGGCCGTTCCCAGCAGTGCCAACAGCCGGCTCGGAAGTTCGAGGACTCAAATGTTGCCATGAGAGAGGCAGTTTTTTTTTTCTTTACAGATTTATTTTCATTGCAAAATCAGATTTTACAGGGAGGAGACAGATCATCCATCTGCTGATTCACTCCCCAGGTGGGTATGATGGCAGCAGCTGAGCTGAGCTGAAGCCAGGATATTCTTCGAGGTCTCACATGTGTGCAGGGTTCCAAAGCTTTAGACTGTCCTCTACTGCTTTCCCAGACCACAACCAGAGAGCTGGATGTTAAGTGGTACAGCCGGGATACGAACTGGCGCCTGTATGGGATTCTGGCACATGCAAGGTGAAGACTCCAGCCACTGGGCTACAGTGCCAGACCCGAGGCATTTTCTTTTGGGGAACTGCCTTCCACGGCCAAGCTGAGATCCAAGAGCAACTTGGATGTTCCAAAGAGATCTTCAGAGGTTCCACCTCCATCAAAGGCCAGAACCCTTCAGAATTCTGACAATGTTTCAGAAATTTCTGTAACTATCACTAGGTCACTCACCACCACCTGACCCGGCTGCAAAATAGGTATCTTAAAAAAAAAAAAGAAAAAGAAAAAGAAAAAAAGGCAGAGTCCCCCCAGGCCAAGCCTGGAGTTATAGGAAACTGAAGGGGCATAATACTTTGTCAGGCTTAATATTGGTCTTCTGAGCCAGACACTCTTCGACAGCTCTGCCGAAGGTCACGGGCATGGAAACTGGAGCCAATGAGACTCGAAGGTTAAAAAAAAAAAAGGTCACCTGAACAAATGGAAGAGGAAACCAGTTTTTCTGTTAACTCATACCTGGCTTTAACAAACAGACATGTGATCCTCTTGTGCCAATCTGCAGCATTTAAATCCTGATAATAGAGAAATTTTGAATTCTGAGTCCCTGGGACATGGGATGGGTTGAGTTGTTCTCACACACACGTTCTTCTGAACGCTTTGCCCCCTTTTCCACCCAGTGAAATGGATCTCTAACCCACGACTCGAAACAATAGGCAGTAACGAGCCAAACGGAGCCAGATATTCATTTTCACTTAAAACGAAAGTCAAAAGAACCACTTTTCACCATTCAGATTAGTGTAGGTAAAATATCTTTATACTGACAAGCAGTGCGGAGGGGTGGGCTAGTTAAGAGTTGAAATCAAAGTCTTATCTGGAATCTAGGAGTGTCTCTCAGAACCTGCAAGAACCTCTATGTAATAGGAAAGTGTAGCGACAGCAATCTACTGATTCAGTTCCCCAATGCCCAAAGCAGTCAAGACAAGGCCAGACCAAAGCCAGGAGCCATGAACTCAATCCAGGTCTCCACCTGAGTGGCAGGGACTGAACTGCTGCCTCTCCGAGTGTGTGTGTATGGAAAGCTGGAATTCCAAGTGGAGCCAGGATTTGAACCAAGTGACCTCAGCCATTGCACCAAATACCCACACTGTGACAGCTAGTAACATACCCACTGACATTTCCTTTAAACTATGTATAGAAGCAAGACAGCACACACTTTCATCATGGCGTTTTTCATAAAATGTTAGTCCAAATGTTAAATTGATTTTAAATAACAATACATCCAAATCAATAAAATGTACTTTGTTGAGAACCAAACAGACTCATAAAATGTGCTATTTAGAAACAGGTTTCAAGGCAGGCTACTTGAGAAACCGGCAGAAAGGCAAGAGTGGATGAGTGGAAGCACGCAGGATGGCTATGCTGATAACTTGGGGACCAGGTAGGAAGACAGAATCTTGCTCTTTGAGGTCCAGCCCTTCGTACTGTCTGAACTTTCGCCATGGGCCTGTATCCCATTTAACGCTCTGAAGTGAGGGTGGCGGCTGCTGCGTGTCCTCAGTATCTTGCTATCACACACCAACCACACTCTCTTCCAGGTCATCGGTAGCTCCCCATGAGGCATGCCCAGGAAAAGCAGAGTGGGGGAACCCTGCTTGTGAGGGTGCCGGGGATACAGGCTGCATCCCACAGAGCTGCAGTTAGACTGACAGAGTGGGCACAGCCACAGGCTGAAGCTAAAACGGAGGAAATTCGGTCTTTCCCTACAGACTGAAGACAGAGACGCCACAGTAGTAGAAAGGAAGGAAAGAAGTGCTCAATTTTACTGAAAAAGAAAAGACTGTACCTGGGGGGTTCGGTATAATATTACAGTTCGATTACATGTATATAAATTTAAAAACTGAGTTACTGCCCACTGGTAAAAACGCAGAATCAACTTTCTTTCAGGTTAGAACAGGTTTTGGGAACAATAATGGACCACATGCTGCCTGGAACCAACAGAGCCAAGAGGGGCAAGAACCACCAGCTCTCAAGGAATACCCAGACTCTTGCAGGATCTTTCCAGAGGCGAGCCCCTCCCCGCCCAAGGGACGCTCTCCTGGGGTTGTGATCTGGGAAATCCCAGATGTCATCAGTCTCAGGTGCTCCGGCCATGCACGCCAAGTGGGGAAAGATCTCCAACTACAAGGGACCAGCATCGGGCTCTGCTTTCCAGTCTTTGGCAGATGTCAGGGGGTGGCAGGGAGGCCACAGCTGGCCTGGAATTGGTAGACGCTGGAAATTCACCCAAGGGGTTTTGCATCAGACCAATCATAGAAGGTCATAGTTCTGTGCCTTCAAAAATCCAAGTAGGAGTGGGATGAGAGTTGGAACTAATGGACCCAGAATTCTCCTGTAGCCATTACAGTAAAAACTCAGCAAGTCTTGCCTTTTGTCTTTGACCCTGAGAAGTTGGTTGCTGGAGACACACAGCCTTCCGCAGCTGTGACTGGATGGGGAAGGCCAGGGCTGCTTCCCACAGAGTTGCCTCTGCAGTCTCTGTGGTTGGGAATCCCTGACTCCCCCACCCACCCACTGGCTCCAGAGGAGGGACTGCAAGGTGGCTGGGGCGGGGGCAGGGACTGGAGGGGTACCCGGCAAAGGCAAGTAGGAAAAGCCACAGCAGTGCTCCAGGTCGACCAGCAGCACCTGAGAGCCTCTGCCAGCTCAGCACCGGGGTGACGTCACACACAAGCTCCTTCCCTGAGGAATTCTTTGGAGTTCAGACATTCAGTGTGCTAGCCAGGTCAAAGACCTGACCAGAGTTGGATCTGTTTATTCCTCAACCTGGGCTTGAGTTCACCAAGGCAAGAGACTTCATTCCAAGGTTAAACATGGAAGTCGTTCTTTCAGAGACAACTTGGGTGGTGGATGGGACAGGCTGAGCTCCAAGCTGTTGGGGACAGGGCCACAGCCAAGATGGCTCTCAGCTGCTTGGGCTTACTTCCAGTCCCTCATTTTCCTGAGACAGGGGAGCTGTAAGAAGGAGAGGCCCTCCAACACTACACCTGCCATAAGCACAGCCCACTTGTGGGTTCTCCTGCTTCTGAGCCACTGTGGGGAATGCCACCCTGGGCGGGTTGTGGCCTCCCCACGCTCCACTCCATCTCAGAGATGACTACAGTGCTTGTCCTCGGGGAAGGATACTTGGGAGGTTCCTGCCTTTGGAGCTTGGCCAGCTTCAAGATGGCACTGGCCTCACCACCATCTTGAGATGCCAGGAGTTTCAAATGGCTCAGGCTTGGCAACCTGGTGTGGCAAAAATGGGAAAAAATCTCTGTCCTTCTGCCCAAGAGTCACACCAAAAATGTATGGTTTCACAGCAGCCACAGCATCTTGTTTCTTTTAAAAAATAAATATTTATAAACTTAGGGAGGAAGATTCAAAGAATCAAGAGTAACTTTCCCTCCAAAAGCACAAATGTCCCATGTGAATCAAACCAAGGTAAGTCCGCAATCCATGAATGATCACCCCCACCCCCAGAAAGCTGCTGTGTTGAGGGGCAGGTAAGTAGGGGAGCTGATGTCTGGGCTCCCGGCCCTAAATTTAGTCCCCCTTGGTGATGAGGTCTTCAATGTAGGCATCCAGCTCGTCGTCTGTGTTGATGTCTATGTCCTGAAACAGAGAGGGGCACAAGTCAGCGGCGGGGCTGGGAGAGCAGGGGGGAGCCTCCCCTCCACCCTTCCCAAAGCTCCTGTGGCTGAGCCAATTCCACCCGCTGTCCCCTCCTGCCCCCCCACCCCCAGCTGCCAGCCTCCTGTCCTGATCACATTCCTCCTGTCCCTGCCCCCTGTAAGGACAGGCACCACTCCCACACTCCCTGCTTTGCCCTGCCTCCACCCCGCCTTCCTAGTTTGCTTACGTAAGTTTCCCTCACATGCTACAAATGCGCCTACCTACTCCTCACCCAAGGTCCAGGCTGCCACTGGGTATCACCCAGAAAACTGGAAACCTCATAGCATTTCCTGCTGCAGGCTCTGATCTGCATTTAAGGCTCCCAAGACTAACCGGGCTAAGGACCAGTCCATGCTCCACCAGGCACTCTCCGGGAGGAACATGCCACCTTCACAGCTCTCCACTGAGGCCCCAAACCCTGCTCCTCATCCCTCTGCGCGGGGAGCACTCATGACCTTCTCTTTATGTGATGGCCTTTCTGTCAATCTCAGCTCAAATATCACCTCCTCACCGGCCCTCACTAAACATACTAACTAAGGGGCCACCCCAGTTTCATCTCTTACTTCACAGCACACCTACCAGCAGCCGACTATTCTGCTAGCCTGTCTCCTCCCCGACACATCCCCAGGATCTTATCCTGCCTATCTAATATATCTAGGATTTTATCTAGCCTAGCTTCTCCCCAAGGGGCACTCCCCACTTTTAGGCTACCCAATCCCAACTGAGCATCAGTCATCTGGAAAAGCAAGAACTTCTTTGTTTTATGGCTTGGAGGGTTCTCAAACCAGGCTGTACATCAGAATGTCTAAACAAAGGACAAAGTCAGGTTCAGTGGGTCTGGCTGGGATGAAGCCCACACAGCCACACCAACCACCTCAAGCCCTCTTGGTCACGACACTGTGCAGTCGGGGTTGGACCCACACATTCCTGTGAATGGACAGAGTGTGGTGAGAAGGGCGGAAGAAGTGCCCAGACCCCCCCTCCCACAGAGCCCAGGTGGTCCAGCTGCAATGAGAGGGCTGCCTGGCTCACCTCCTGCACCTTTTGCAGGAGAGCCACGATGTTGGTCCTCAGCTTCTGTAACTTCTCCTCGGTCTCGCGGAGTTTCCTCTCAGATGTTCGCAGGTTCTCTTCTGACACCTTGGCCCGCGAATCGGCACGGCTCTGATAGGAATTGCACAGGTTCTGCAGCCCGACCTCATACTGCTTGAAGTACTCTTTCTGTCAGGAGGGAAGTCAGAGGAGGTGAGCCTGAGTTCACAGGGCTCCCCAGGGCCTTCACAGACAGGCACAAACGTTGCCAATGGGCTCCACCCAAGGAACATCTGAGACACAGGGGCAAGCAGTTTCTTTAGGTGGCATAGGGAGACCTCAAGTGCCTACACTCATGGGCCTGCTAAGAGGTCAAGAACAAGATCACACAAGAAAAAGCATTCTTGCACAGTGCTACTGCAAGCCATGAGCAAATGGTGATGGGCAGAAGAAACAACATTCGTCAGACCTGGTTACCCAGGCAGTGCAAACATTCCAACAGGCTCCAAAGGATACACACTTCATATGGTTTCCTCTAGTTTGCTTTTTTTTTAAACTTTTTATTTTGAGCTAACTGTAAGTTCATTTAAAAAAAAATTATAATTGGATCTGATATTTTGATGATCAAGATGGATCAGAGCTCTGATGAGGACTGCCAGCCAGGCATGATGGAGAAAGGATGGCTATTTACAGAGTGAGAAGCGTCTCAGGACCTTCAGACTCTGCTGCGTTCCTGATGTGAAAAAATAAAAGCCTGAATGAATGATTTCAGACATCAAAACTGGAAGGACAGAGCTGATAGGCTGGTATTCATCCTTCCTTCGCAAAAAATAAGCTCTCTCCACTATTTTTAGACCCATAGACGCTGAGGCCTTGGTTGGGGCCAAGCAGCTGAGCCTCCTGGGTACAGAGATCCCACTGTATCCATGCCCTGCCTGCCCTGACTCTGACAGCAACCTGTAGCCAAAAGCAACAAATGTGACTTGGCCAGAGATGCCAGGCCATCCTTGCCAGCCTACCAGTCACTGGTCATGCCTGGGATCTGCAGAATGCCTGGGACCTAAACAACATGGAGCTGCTGTGATGAGCTCCACCACCTTGTAGCTTTCTCATCCAGTCCCAGGCCCTCTCACCTCGCAGGGCGACAGGGCATCCTCACTGTGAGCACAGACATCATTTTCCTTCATCTCTTGTGTCATCTTTTTAGAAGGCAGAATGGAGATGAACCCACCCTGCCAGCATACAGCTGCCATGTGAGGGCCCACCAACTGGCCTATCCTAACTCTGCAGCTCCTTCCATCCTCTTCTCTACACACTGTCACCTAGAAAACCCGGCTGTTCGGACCACAGCAGCATTCCACTTGGCAGGTGACTCCCAACCCTCAGCTCTATTCCTGGCTTCCTCCTCCTCTCTTGCCAAGTGCCAGTCCCCAATCTCTTCCTGTCCACTGCATGCCACTAGAAATGCAGAGCTGGTATACCTCCAAAACAACACAATTTTCCACTCCTTACCTTCCTGACAGTTCCCCTGCTTTTTTCTCCTGGTTAACAGCTTTGCCAGCAACCTCGCCTTCTCACAGGCCTGAAGCACAGGGCAGCACGTGGCATCTGCTTCCTGTCACCTGTGACGTGCCTACCATTATGACTTTCTTAACAACCTCTAACACACTCCTTTTATCCACTAGTCCCTTCCCACCACTCTGGCTCCCACTTCTATTTCCTCATCTCTGACCTTTAACAAGTGGACCTGCTTTTCTCAACCACCCATTCTACACAAATGTACTGCACCCAAGTTGCCTCATTAGGGACAACAGATCACAACTCTGTACCCAATCAGCCTGCCACCTGCCGGAACACAGCCATATCCATGCCTTTATACACTGTCTGTGGCTCCTTTCATGTTACATCATCAGACCCAAGTAGTTGTCATAGATTAGAAAGCCCACAAGTCAAAAATTGCTAACTGGCTCTTGAGAAAAAAGTTGGCTGATCCTGTCCCAGGCATGGTTCAGACTGACAATTCCTTGAGCTCCAAACGCCTGCTGGCCCACCGTCTCTGTATACAGTGTTGAAGCCAATGTAACTTGCATTAAGAAACAACACATCCTGGCTTGTAGCTTCCTTCTATCCTACTAACCACACATCTCGCTACCCTGACTGGAGCCTCTGCTTAAACATGTCCCCTGCTCAAATACCCTCCTTTACTTACACAGGGAAGCCTGGCTTTTCTTTACAGCAAGTCATTCTCCTGGCCCTCCCAAGCTGCCCCAGTCTTCTCCTGGCCGCTTCCACAGCAACTCACTGCTCTCAACCTCATGCTATCTCTACTGCGTACCTGCCCCCTTCACCTTCTATTTTATTTTTAATTTTAAGATATATTTCCACAGGCTCTGGGATTCTGCTTACCCCTCTCCAATTTCCGTCCCCCCAACTGACTTCCCACATATTATTACAATAGTATAAGACCTTCATCAGATGTAAGCCTATTATTCTGCTATTTAAGTGTATCCTGACATTGCAGTTACAGACAATGGCAGACAGTTCAGCATCATATTGCCAAGACATATCCAACAGCTTTACTGGGAGTTCTCTACTGGTTCTTAAGTCACCCGAAGGCAGGCAAGATCCTTTACTGCTGACTGTGAAGCCCAGCAGAGGGAGATGACACACCAGGATTTACTGGGACAGATAAGCCCAAGCACTAAGCTCCACACACTATGAGCTAGAGTCTAAGCCCTGTGGTTACCTGGACAGGCTAACTCCATTGTTTCTGGGGTAAAAGAAGTGGGATTTAGTGATGTCAACCACACCTACAGTTCCAAAGGGACTCGGCTGTCACTACCCATGGAAGCTGGGGTTGGCTTTCTGCTTGCCATGGTCTGTTCAAGCTATGCCACATTTTTTCCATAATGAAATCTCCTTCTCCCTTCTCTCAGGAGAAAGGGATGCCACCTGAGTGCCAGTCACCACAGCAAGGACGGACATATGGGCGTGTGTGTGTGTGTGTGTGTGTGTGTGTGTGTGTGTGTGTGTGTGCATGGTCAAAAGTCAGGTCAGACTCACCAGAGGGAAAGAGATCAGTTCATCCGAATTCATGACACTCAGCTCCTTCTTAGAGATGGGGAAACTTGGCGGCAGGAAGTAACGTAAACAATTCCTAAGCAACAAAGATGAGACAAGAATTCAGAATGGAAAGCAGAGAGCCACAGCAGAAAGATCCCAGAGCAGAAAGACATACATACCGAAGGATCTGGACAAGTAGGTCAATGGTCTCATGGTTGGTGTTTGGTGCAGTGGTATCAGGCTCAATGCGGATACACTCAGAGGTAGAGGGCTCTGCCATGGCTACGGCCTGCTCAGCCACTACAACCTCCTCTTCCTCTCCACCCAACTGTTGTGTGTCAGGGCTCTGATACTCAGGGGAAGGGGGTTTCATCAGCCGCACATCCTCACTGCCTTTCTCCACCCTGTGGAGGACAGAGTTTTTATAGTTTGTTCCCAGTTCCCAGGGTGGGCAATTGGGAAGTGACCTATGGAGACCTCCTCCCCGGGCTGACCTCTGCCATCCTGGCTTCCAGAAGGGGGCATTACCAGCGGTCTCTTGGTGTTGTGTCTGTGGGCACGTAGTCAAACTTCACCTTCCATCGCACCACATGCTTGCCCGCCTCCACGGCTGTCACACGGCCTGTGTACCACTCCCTGTTCACACGCACCTCTACATGCAATCCTTTATCTGAGGACACGGACACAGATACACATCAGAAAACACAACTACAGTCCCTCAGCTCAGCCAGCGCTAGGATTCAGAACTCTCTGGGTATGCACCTTCCTCAAAAAAGGGACATGTAACCCAGCCACCCCAGTCATCTTCACCATCTGCTGTGAGGATGCTGAAGAGCAAGAAGACAAGCGACTGCCAGATGTAAACCAAGACTGTATTAACAACAGCCACAAGGAGGTGCTATCTTCATGAAAGCCCTGTTCAGTACACAAAAACCTGGGCCCAGGGAGTAAGTACCTTGACCTCCTCCCACAACAAGTCTTCCCAAGAGGCTCCACTTGCATGGTAGGCTGCACAGCGAGCGCCAGGGTCCTCCCTTAGACTCACCTTTCTGAGCCCTCTTGAGGTCAGCCAGGTCTTCTTCTCCAGCGCTGTCTGAGAGCTGCAGGGAGAAGAGTCTTAGAGAAGACAGCTCCCATGGTCCCCCAAGAGAGACCATCCAGGCACATCTCATCCAGAGACCTTCAGGACTCTCGGTCTTTGAAAGTTTTATTTGGGAAGACAGAAATAAACAGGCTGACAAAGATCCTTTATCTGCTGGTTCACTCCCCAAATGCAACAGCCCAGGCTGGGCCGGGCTAAAACCGGGCATTCAATCCAGATGCCTCATGTGGGTGACAGGGACTTGAGCCCTCACCTGCTGCCTCCTGGGGCGTACAGCAGCAGGAAGATAAAATCAGGGGCAGAGCCAGGACTTGAACCCAGGCACTCTGACGGGGGTGCACGTAATCCAAGCGACTACTTAACCAAGCCTTCTACCTTTATGTCTTCCAATGCTGCAATTTACATCCCTCCCTGCAGGCTACTCTCTAAAATCACTGTTAGCCCTCCACCCTTCTGCCACCTTCATCAACAACATAGCAGGAAAGGGAAAGAATGCTACCAGCAGGGCAGCAAAGTAATTCAAACCTTCTAATGTGCATCAATATTATCCCAGGTCTGTTTTCAGCCATCTGGCTTCTGGAAGGTTCATGTCAGCAGCATGCGCAGAGCTGGTGCTGACAGCTGGTAGCGGGTCGGTGAGGAGGTGCGAGCCTGGGGAACAAACCTCACCACAGCACCTACCTCATTCGAGTCCTTCTTCTCCTCCTTCACGGTGAATCTACCCCGCTTGAACCTCTCTCTCTTCTTCTCAGCTTCTTCCTCAACTTCTTCCTCATCGGAAACCCCCAAATTGCGCTTCCGGCCAGCGGCAGCCTAAAACAAGAGAGTGAGAATGTGAGCCTCGAGAAGCATGGAAATTTCTTCTCTGGCCTACAGAAGCTGTTGGAGGGCTTGTTACTCCCTCCAGCTCCACCAGGGGACCTGGAGCACACCTAAGCCACCTCCTGGGCCCGAGCATGATGGCCTCTGCTCAAAGCTATCGTGAGGCAACCCTTCAGTTCATTCTCTCAGCCTGCATGTCACTATGACCTGAGACACACTCCCCCACCGCCACAGGACACAAACGGATGCCCACTCAGTAGAGCTGATTCACATTCACGGCAGCCCAAATTTCAAGGGAGCGGTGACAAGTTTCCAGACAGGAAACCAACTTCCTGTGTGCCCCCAAGACCCCTAACTGCATTGATTCTCCTCCTCGGGGACAATGAGAAACAGTGGCTTGCTGATGTCCCCATGGCTAGGAGACCAACGCAACCCTGGCACCATGCAGTTCTGCCCCTACACTCCAATAGCATGATGGGGCTGAGAGGCAATGCATCTCACCGGGGCAGGAGGTTTAACAGGAGGCTCTGGCTTCTTCACTGCCGCAGTCCTGGTGGCTCTGGTAGCAGGGACCTCCCGAGGGGTCTTAGGGCTGGGCGGCACTGATGGTGGCAGCGGCTGCACCAGATGGGCAGGCCGGGGCGCAGTCTTGGCTGGAGTGGCTGCAGGCCGTCGAGGTGCCTCAGGTGGCTGCAGCACCCTGGATGTACTGGCCTCCTCCCGGGCTGCCACCACAGGCGGCTTGGGCGGGTTGTTGACGAGGGGAGCCCTGCGGGGCTGGCTGGCTGGTTTGGGTGGCTGCAGGGAAGGAGGTCTGCTCGGGGCATTCTTGATCACAGCAGGTAACGGGGGTGAGCGCGGACGCTGAGGTCTCCGCACAGGTTCCTACAAAGGCCAACAGTGAGTGACTGTACTCACCCCCAGGTGAAACACCCTGAGGGAGAAGCCCCTCAGCCCCATGTCCCTGGTTTTACCTCAGACGGAGGTCTGGTGGTCACTTCCAAGGGCAGCTTCTTCAGGTCAGCTTGGGAGCGGATAGGTGTGGTTTTCTGCGGGGCAAAAATGTGATGAACTTGTCTGTCCATCTTGGTATATACCAAAGTAAACTCATCTGGAGCACTATGATTATGGATGGGACAGCAAACAAAGAAAACCTGGGCTTGGTCCGATTCTTATTAGCCCCTCAATCTACTGCGGAGATCAAGAAAAAATAAAAGCATACAAACATTAAACCATCAGCCAATCACCAATCACAGGACACTACATGATTTTTTCATTGACTCAGAAACTGGGCCAAAATGTCCACAGACTAAATTCTTATTAATTGAGCCAGAAGAGATGGCAAAGACCCGATGGGCGAGGGAAACACGGAAGATGCCAGAAAGAACGGGAGGGATGCAGCAGGCAGAGCGGGACAGGTCCCTGTTGTGAATATCATGGGCAGTCACAAACAGGCCTAAATTCTACACAATTTACATAATTAAAAACAGAAAAATAAGTAGATAAAAATCAATTTCAAAAGAAATGTAAGTGGACATATTTTATAAATGTCTATTTTCTTTTACAATGGAAAAGAAGTTATAAAATCTGCCTATTCTTGTCAATAAATTTGCAAGCATTTAAAACTCTTACAAACTGCTAATAAAGAACAAGAACATCATCTGGGAGATAATCTGAAAATAATTATATAAAAAAAAGTACAGAATTTTCAAAATCCTTTTACTCTTTCAATTTTACTTCTAGAGAATTATAAAAAAAATGTATGCATGTATGCACTAGAGATATGTGTGATGAAACACACGGCATGATGCTATGCTATACTTCTATGAAAACAGTACTTCTGTGTCTGATATACAATTATCCATACAGAGGAGGAGGACACAGAGTTACTGGTGGTTATGTCTAAGATAAGATCATTTATTTTTAACCACTACACTATCACGCCGGGTCCAGTATCATTTATTTTTATGCAGTTTTTAGACCTTTTTAAAAGAACTGTATTATTCTGAATATGTCAAACAACTTTTTGTTGTTAATAATAAACAAGGCATACTTGAAAACCTGTGATTTAATGTGGAGGCTGGGTTTGGGATGTTTCGGCAAGCACAGACAGGTGAGCAGGGGTGAGGCTGAGCGCATGAGGAACAGGGAGTGCTGAAGGCTGCCTTCCTGGGTAGACCCCAGCCCCAGGCTGCCTCTGCTAAGTGACCCCAACCCACACACCTGAAGGGCCTCCAGCTTCTCCTGCTGCTGGCGGATTTTCTCTGTCAGCTGCTTCTGCTTCTCTTCCTGTGTCTTTAAGTCCTTTTTGAATGTCCCCAAGGGGACCTTCTGCTTCTGTTCGGAAGCCTCACACCTGCATCAACACCATGGAAACACAGGCTCTAGGCGGGGCAGGGACCCACTCTCCTCTGCCCAACTGCGCTGCCTCTCTCAAAAGCAACCATCTCTGAGTTTTCTGGGCACAGGATGAGTTCATATGTGCTGCCAAGATGTGTGTCTACTCTTCCCTGGGCACCGACATGAGAAGCCCAACAAGGGTTTAGGAACAGAAGCACTGGTCTCACGAAGCATAGTGAGTTATCTACCCCAAGCACAGAGGACAGAGCCAAATCAAGGAGGGGCTGTGGCAGAGAATATCCACAATGTCCTTGTTAGAGACATGCTCACCGGTCCTGCTCAGGATCGGGGTTCATGGAGCAGATCCAAGTGTCAGGGTAATATTTTTCCACGGAGTTCAGCTGGAAGGGGAGGGTCCTCCACTTCAGACATAAGTCTGCGACACAAAAAACACCCAAACAACTGTCAATCACTGCCATCAGCAGTATTCACAACAGACAGGGAAACTGGGTACAGACTCAAAAGCCTGAGCTCACGGGGCCCTCACAGGTCACACTCCTCTTCCCAGAGAGACCCGAAGGCCACATTAAGAGGCCAGAAAGCTGCACATGGAAGAGAGGCCAGGACTGAGAGGGACAGAGCCAGAAAAGGGCTAAAACCGGGACGCACCACACTGGATGGTAGTTGGGATTTCCATAGCTCTCCGGCGTTTGTAACGCAGCTCACTGGATGGGGGCTGGTTCCAGTTGGCAGACAGGTAACCAAACTCATCCCAGAATTTGATGATTCCTCGCTGGGCTAAAAGGCAAACATCCATACCTTGTGTTGGACACCAGTCTCTGCTTTCTGAATCGACCCTCTCGGGCCATGAGAGCATCACTAAAGTTGGAGGAAACAGAAAGGGCAGAGTTGAAGCAAGCAGCATAGGCCCATTACCAATGGCAATGTCCTTCCAGTACTGCGCCAGGTGCTCCCCCATGGCCCGCAATAGGTGCCGGTACTCCTTGGCATCTGCGAAGTCCTGTTTGTTGTGTGTTGGCTCCAGGACCAGGTAGGGCACATCAACAACCCCCACAACTCCTCCGCATGCCCTGCAGGGAGAAAGGGGACACAGCGGTTTAACTGCGTTGGCCAGAACCTGCATGCCATCCACTCAGCTGGAAGGCTCTCCTCCCTCGGGTTGTACTCACATGCCACCTTCCAGCTGTGGACCCACTTTCTCATACATCTTGATCAGGCGGCTGCAATTGTAGATGAACATACCGTCCAGGTACCGGTGTTCAATGTTGACACCAAAAACGAAGTTCAGCTCCTTAGGTTCTTTCAGGGCGCTAAGAAAGAAAGAAAAAACTTCAGACAGGTTTGCCCATGAGCAGCCAGCACCATGTGTTGGACTTAAGCCTGAGACACGTCAGGCCAGACATTGTGCATCTCCACTGAGTGCACAGCCTCTCTGACTCGACAGACACATGTAACTGTGCATTCTCCTGGCATCACAAATTAAAACACCAAAAGCTGGTCTCTCAGTAATAGAACAGGGCTGGACTCAATTATTGGGAAGGCACTACTACAGATCTTATTAGAAAAGACACAAAAGTATCTTTAATTCTCCTCCAAAACTCCACCAATAGGAAAGCGGTTCTTAAAGAAAAAAAAATTCATAAGCACAAATACCCAACACCAGCATGGAATTATTATCAGCAAAACCTCAGGTGCCGAAATGCAGATGGAAAAGCAGTGCCAGACTCAGTCATTAAGCCACAGAGCCTAGGTAGGCTTCAGACAGGGAGGATGCACAAGGAGGCAACTGCAAACATTCACCGTAAGTGGGAAAGTCTACAAAACTCGGTCTGATGGAGTCAGCACTGTGGGGACAGCAGGTAAAACTGCCTGCCCGTGATGCTGGCAACCCACATGGACACTGGTTTGAGTCTTGGGTGCTCCACTTTCAATCCAGTTCTCCCTGCTAAAGTGCCTGGGAAAGCAGTAGAAGATTGCCCAAGTGTTTTGGCTCCTGTACCCACACATGGACAAGCCAGAAGATGGTCCTGGTTCCTGGCTTCAGACTAGCCCAGTTCCAGCCATTGCAGCCGTTTGGGGAGTGAACTAGCAGAAGGACAATCTCTCTCTAAGTCTTTCAATAAATAAATAAGAGAGAGAGAAAGGTAAGAAACTCAACCTACTGAATTATCCCACATTTGTAATCAGTGAAAGGAGATTGAACATGAACATATATAAAACACCATATATAAAGAGTAGATAAGCTCAGGTGGTAGAATCATAAGGAATTATTTGAAAAGTTTTAGTTTATTTTGCTGTATGTTTTATTTGAAATGCAAGAGAGGGAGAAAGATTGATCTTCCCTTTTCTGGTTTAGTCCCTAAATGACTGTAATGGCCAGGTCTGGGCCAGGTTGAAGCCAGCAGCTTCGTTCAGATTTTTCACGTGTGTGCAGGCACCCAAGCACTTGGGCCATCTTCTGCTGCCCTCCCAGGCACATCAGCAGAGAGCTGTATGGGAAGTGGAACAGCTGGGACTCAAACCAACACCCATATAGGATGCTGGTGTTGCAGGCAGTAGCTTTGTTCACTAGACCACATGTCAGCCCCTCAAATATCTTAGATGTCTGTGTTTTTCAAATTTTACACAATGAACATTTTGTGCATTCTTTAAAAGAGAAAAGGAAAAACGAGGAAAAAAGGCGAGATGGTGAGGATGGTTAGGGGTTCTTTGTGAATTATCCAGCTTTCCCCGCCTTTTCCCAGCTCATGAAAAAAGCAGGAGCTCAGTGAGGCCTCTCTCTTCCAAGGGCATCTGACAGAGATCACATTAGTGGTTTTCTCAAAGCCATCTTGGTGACAGAAGTGCAGCCTACCAACCACCAATGCAAAAGCAACACAATTGTGAAACAGCACAGGCCAGCCCTGGCACTGACCGCTGCTTGGCCTCCTTGATCCTCTTCTTGACGTCGGCTTCTCTGCGCAGGGTAATGGCTGTGTTCTGGACCTGTCGCAACATCACCTAGACGAGCACATCAATAGCAGATGAGGGGGACAGGTACGTACCCAGGGCCACGGCAGCTAACGTTCCTGCCGTCACATCTGACTTTCCACTATAACTCACAGGGACAGACAACCCCATGTGGATATGTTCCTTCTTTCTACAGAAGCAGCTTGTCGCTAGGGACAAAACAAAAGCTGTGTTTCCAGAGCCAGCAAACCTGCCACACAACCTAGGCTCCTCAGCAAACAAGCTGGAGAAGAGGAGCAGTGAGCGTCCGGGGCCTTACCCTAGAATCCCGGGTGAGGTCTCCGCCCAGGCGCACTTCCAACGTCCGAGCTTTGCTCTCTGCCTCCCGGGCCTTCTCTTCAGCTGAAATCCAAAAGACACCGTAAAGATTTCAAAGGCTCAGAACTTGCTGTCACCTCGCCGGGAACCACAAAGGTTTCTTTGATGGAGAAATCACTTGGGAAAAGGTGAGCCAGGGCAGCCACGGCTGGGAGTGTGTTGGGAGCAGCCTCCAGACCAGGACAGTGAGAGTCAATGTGGAAAGGGGGAATTTGACTTTCACAAACATCACAGAGGCCCTGTGGAGAGCAGGCGCTATTTCCACCTGACATTTCAAGCTTGAAATAAAATGGCTTCAACAGATCCAAACACATATAAGGCAAGCAGAGCTAAACCCTCAGCATGAGCTGGAAACCAATGCAGCCTTCACCATCGGGGGGCAAGAAATTCTGAGCGACACTGGCTGCTGTGTGAGTCCTTGAGATTTATGATCTGCAGAAAACTCAGGAAAACCAATCCCCAAGGGCTGGAGCCACAGTGGAATGTGGTCTGCTTCCCTTTGGGCAGGGTAGTTGATAGGTTTGGATGGATGGCTATAAATGGCTGAAGTGAAGGTAGAGGGACAGGTGGCATGTGATGAAAGGGCTGGAAAAGAACAAGAAAATGGCCAGGGGAAGGGCCTTGTCTGTAGGTCCCTGCTCCGGCCTAAAGAGCATCTTCGAAACACTCCCGCCCAACACTCCCCTGCAGAGGGCGTGCATTACCAATCCGAGCCACGTGCTCTGCCTTCTTCACCTCCTGCTCCGCACGGGTCTTGAACCGGCTTGATGTGTACTTGTACATCCTGGTCAGCGGAAAAAGAAACCTGAGGTCTGAACAGCAGCGGGCAGACAGCCACCCCAAGTACTCCCAAGCTGTGTTTTGAGATGAGGCAAAACCAAGCTCATCTCAAAAAAAAAAAAAATCAGATTCCTTTCTCTTCTTGCCCCTGCCTTTCCCCTCTGTCTTTGACAAACAGTCCTAGTTACAAGGGTGTCATCAATCTGTGGCAGAAACGCACCTTAGCAACAAGGCTGGATCCTTATGTACAGCATCCCAGCACCCCGGGCCCTAAAGCTGAGACACCGCTTACTGTGCCAGGCAGGACACATGCCATGTTCCAGAGGCACTCACAATCCACGTGCTCAGCCAGCCAGATTCCAGAGGCTGTCAGCCAGTCTGTCCTCTGGGACCCACCAGTGACTGGCAAATCACAGACGGCTTCAGGGCTCACCCACAGCCTGCCCTGACGGAGCCGCCCTCTCATGGTGCAGCACGCCAACGAGGCCCCAGCCCCAGCCCACGGGCGGCAGCAGGTCAGGTGGGCTGGCCCTTACCTGGGTTTATACAGGCAGCAGGAGAGCCTCTTGGTCTGCACCTTGTGCCCATGAATGAAGATCCTCATCCGGGGATCGATATAGAGCACAGCGGCGTAGGCTCGGAATGAGCGCCGCTCTGGCTTCCTGGGGACCAGAGACAGGCACAAGGTCACCCCCCACAGCAAGCCCTAACAAAGGCACACGAGGGTCTCTGTGGGCCTGCCACCTATCCATCTCCAAGCTCAAGCCCCTACTGCAGCCCCAATGGGGTACTCCCTCCACATGGATACTGCATGCCATCTCCTCAGATCCCAAACACAGGTGACCCCCAAACGCCTCACTGAGATCTACTGTGGAAACCTGGTCAATTTCTCTCCCGCCCTAGACCTTGTTTTTTTGTTTTATCAAACCAAGGAGTCAGAGTGAAGACTCCTCAGTCTTTTAGTTGAATGGAAGACACGCTGCCTTGTTCGTTGCACCAGCCTGTGTCTAGGCGGCTAGAGCCCTCCAGGCCAGTAGTCCCAACACTCACTTCTGGAGAAACGCCGGGAATGAGGCCTGCCTGCTTCCTCTGCAGTCGCCAGTCCCAGGCCTGCTCCTTTCCCAGCCACACTCACGTGCCCTCCGGAGAGGTCTCTGCCATCTGGATATCTCTCGGATTGGAGATGATGTCCAGCTCCGGCTCTCCATTGTCCATGAGTTTCAGATTAAAAATGATCACCAGCGTCCCTGGGGAAGAGGTGTCCTTTCATTCTGGCAGGGACTCCCCGGTCTCTCCCCACACCGCTTGGGGCTCTGCAGGCTCCAGACTCCTTACCGCTGTTCCCAGGAATCTTCATGAACTGGGACATCACTTCCTCCTCTGTGCGGAAGGGCGAGTATTTGTAGATGAGCTCTGTCTCGATGGCAAACTTCTCCACGTTATCTGTGACGGGCTCCCGGGTCCGAGCATGCCAGGTGGGCAATGGGACGATCACCTTTGGGGAAGCACAGGCAGACGGTGAGGCAGGCCCCAGGACACCTTCCCTCAATCATGTGGCCGTTGTGTCTTTGCCCACAGAGCCTCCACTCTACCAAAGACCAAGACCTGAGCCCAAGCGCCACAGCCTGGCACACCAGAGGCTCCACAGCTTCCAGCCTGCGCCAAGACTCAACCTCACATTGCCATTTCCTCTTACGGTATTGCTGGTTTATAACTAGGGGAGTGTCTGTTTTTTCTCACAGGTAGATTCCTTGGCTTTTTTTTTTTCTTCAATGATTTAGTAAACATTCTCTTACCATTAAAGAAAATACATTTGCAATTACCTAGTGAGTCTGAAAATAACTAATAAAATCTACAACTCAGCAACCCTACCCTTAGGTATGTTCCTTATGAGAAATGTTCTCATTAGTCTTTGCTAAGTTCATGGGAAATGTATATTATGAAAAAACTACACATGATTTTCAAGGTTTTTTCCCAATAGAACAAATGTCTTTTAATTCTATATTTCCACAAACTTTCTCAAGTACTCTCGTACACTAGCATAAGAACAACTAAAATATCCAAATATCCAATATAGCGTGGTAAAACTCAACAACACTGTAGCTACAATGAAATACTAGACAGTAATGATAAATGACGACATTAAGAGCAACTAGCATCAACACAGATGATCCATAAAGACAACATAATTTGGGCCTGGCGGCGGGGCCTAGCGGCTAAAGTCCTCGCCTTGAACGTGCCGGGATCCCGTACGGGTGCTGGTTCCAATCCCCACTGCTCCACTTCCCACCCAGCACCCTGCTTGTGGCCTGGGAAAGCAGTCGAGGACGGCCAAAAACCTTTGGATCCTGCACCCATGTGGGAGACCTGGAGGAAGTTCCTGGCTCCTATCTTCGGATCAGCACAGCATCGGCCGTTGGCTGTGCTCACTTGGGGAGTGAATCATCAGACAGAAGATCTTCCTCTCTATCTCTCCTCTTCTCTATATATCTGACTTTGTAATAAAAATAAATAAATCCTCAAAAAAAAAAAGGCAACATAATTTACAAAATATGACAATGTGAATTCACATCTGCAAAGGTCATAAACAGGCACTAAAACAGGCACAACTAAACTATTACTTAAGGACGCATACACAGGTGACAAACTAGACAAAAATATGGAAATGAGCATCACAAAAGTTACCTGAAGCCAGTTCCTTCAGGGCCACAGTAAGAAAAAGATTATATAGGACCCTGTAACACTGGTCAATGACAGATGGCTTTGTATCCATCCTCTTCACTGTACACACACTTTAATACATTCTTCTACATACACAGACTTTCATTTTATGTCCAAGTGCCTTTCTTGGAAAACCCGACTCCCAACACCACCTCCACAGAGGCCTCGTTGTTCCCCTCCCCCTCCCTGGAGGCCACAGCACCTGCAAGAGGGATTCCCTCTAGACAGAAAACCAGTTGGGGTACCTCAGAGGCCCAGACCAGCCAGCCCACCCCCCGAAAAAAACAGTCTGCTTCTTAACAGCTGCCAGGGTGATAAAGCTGTTGACGAGCTCAGAGGCATTAGCTGGTTTCTAAGAAGTTTTGTGCTTGTGAAGTATTCCACCCCGCCAAGGCTGGTTTGGACACATTCCTCCCTGGCCGAAAATGATCTTATTTTGAAATCCTGGCCGAGTTTGTACTAGGGTACAGTCCAAAACAGTGACCTTCTAGCACCAAGTAAGGAAGAAACTTCACCCTAGCTGTCTCCACTGGGGGAACTGAGCTCCATCTGTGTTCTAAAGCAGTACTTCAAGCTCCCACTCACCACCACAGTCACAGGGGACAACAGCATCACTTTACACAGCAGACCCTCACTTTCACTGGCAGTATTGCACACTCTTCTTGCAGCTTCGACACCACCACTCCCCTCCCCTCCTGGTTTTTCTGGAACTGTGGATGGGGGCAGCCCTCACTTCCTCGGCTACTTTCTCCACCCACTCACTGCCCTAGACCCCAGGTCCTTCTCTCACTCTATGCTTACTTGCCATAACACCCTGGGTCCAACTCCAGGCTCCCAGTTTCCTTTGCATATCCAGAGCAAATTTAGCCCAGTCCCCTCCCCATGGCCACTCTTCTGTTGTTCCCCAGAAGCCCACCACTTCCAACTGCCACCCATAGCCTTCCAGTCAGCCCTCTCCCTTCTCCAACCCCCTCCACTCATCAGTTATGGTCCACATCCTGAAGAGTGCTGCTTGCCTCTCTTTCTCTCACTTCCCTGCTCCAAGTTCTGCCAGGATCTCTCAACAGGGTCACTCCAACACTCACCCTCATCTTCCCAGTATCACCACCACATAATAATCAAATGCACTTTCTAATCAGAATCTGACCTGGGTACATCCTTGCTTCATAAAGTCCCCCTCACTCAACAAGCTTGGAGCTGAGCCCAATCCGCTCTCCAGAAGCCATCAGGGGTCTTCAGGTGACGCCATCTGAGGTCCCTGCCAAACCCCTGACTGGCCCTCAGGGACTTGGCAGGCTGCCAGTACTGACCTGAACATGCCCCCTCTGACAGACCATACGCAGCACTCCAGAAACCTAGCCCCAAATCCTAGCCAAGCCACACCCTCCTGTCCTACCTCCCCTGCAGATACAGCCCTCATCTCCCTCCAAGCGTGCTGAGTGAACCAAGTTACCACTCTGAAAAGGCAAACAACCCCACTGGCTTACTAAATAAAGATGGCAGGAAAAGAGAGCCTGCCGTCCTCATGGTTTAGTTTGCTATGATACAAGACTCAGATCCAAACAAGGCCAGGACAGACTCAGTCGCAGCCAACCAACAGAGAAGAATCAACTCAAACAGCAAAGAATTATGCTTCTGTGACGATAATGGGTTTCTTTCTACAGAACTTAGTCCCCACCCTTACCCCTTCAAAACTCTGGCCTCCATTTTTCACATATGAAAAAAAGATACAGGAGATGAAGAGTTCAGGCTGCTGGCCAGACCACAGAGCTTTCCTAGTACCCACCAGCAGAGGGCAGAGATCTCACCAGAAATCTGGGCTCGTCAGAATCTGAGCTCTTAGGTCCCAAGCAGCAATCAGCAGAGCACATGCTGTGCTATCACGGCTATCATGTTTTACAGTCAGAGACTAGGTTCCCAAAACCTTCCTTCCAGCTCAGCAGTAATCACTGGGGCTGTTAGAGCCACCACTTCCACAGGGAGAGCAACAATCAGGTGCCAGGTAAGGACAAGCTCCGGTTCACGCTCCTCTGCTCCTGCTTGCCTGGGCCCTGCAGGTGTCTGATCGGTGGCTTCCAACACCAGCAGGAAAGGCAACACACTGCCTCAGGAGAGATGTGCTCACAGCACATTCCACAAAAACACCAATTGAGCACGAAAGACACTGCTGTTCTTGTCATTCCTGCCACTCCTACTCTCCACCCATAGCCAGGCGAGCCCAAAATACTCCCCCAATAAAATAAGTCTCCTTGGTGACACCCCACACATGGAATTCAGATCTTAGAAGAGCTGCACACCCAACCTTCATTCCTGCCACTTGGCTCATCCTGAGAAACAAGATAGTAGCTCTCCGAAGTGTTCTAAGATTTCCCTTTCTCTCACATGATGAAGGTCATCTGTCTTAACTCCTCAAACAATCCATCTGACCCACTAATCCCAGGACAGGGCGCACGTGCCAGAGAGCCGAGCACAGCCAACAACCCATGCAAACAGTCCAGGCAGAGTCAGGAAGTATGCGGTGGCGATTCAGACCACGAGGATGGGACCTACTTCATCAATGCCCTCCTCCTCGTGAAAGGTGCGAGACAGGAAGAGGCAGGTCATGGTGTCTTCCTTCTTGGTGAAAAGGATAAAATCCTTTCCAATGCGCATTGAGCCCCTAAGAGGGAAACAGAGACACGGTTAAAAGCTCACATGAAAGAGTGGTACCCTTATTCCCTGGTCACGACAGAAGTTGCCTCTGGAGGGCTGCCCCGTAGGCCGCCCAAGGGCCCAGACCGCTGAGTGGCCCTTTACCCATCTAACACTCTTTGCTCCACCTTTCTATCAGCTCTGTCAGTCTTTACCTACCATCTTTTCCATCACATCTTCCCAGGATCTACTGTCCTCCCACTACCCCTTGGGATACGCTCACCACCAATCCCAGTCCCAAGTTACTCTCACTCCCAGCCTGTTGTCACAACACTTGTTTCACTCCTGCTCTTGGGCTCCTGGTTTGTGCCAGCCACACGAGGGCTGAGGAGCCCTCCCACTGCACCACAGACCAATGCTTCTGCTTCCTAGAAGCTCTCAAGAAAAAAAAAAAAAGAAGAAAGAAAGAAAGAAAGAAAGAAAGAAAGAAAGAAAGAAAGAAAGAAAGAAAGAAAGAAAGAAAGAAAGAAAGAAAATAAATCCTATGTGAACCCAGACACAGGAGCTATCAAATCATAATTCTCAACCATGGTGTTCAAGGTGACCTGTACCTGGCTCCTGTCCTGAAGAGTCCTCTGGTTTAGAACAGCCTTGCCACCTCTCAAGCTCACTGTGACATTGGCAGGCCCCTACTTTTGGACACAACTGGTTTCTGGGAACTGTGCCTTGAAGCCGACTTTCACTGGCCAAGAGTGAGAATGAGGTCTACTGCTTCCTTCCTCTGTTTTGTGATGCTAAACTGCCCACCGAGAAGGCTGGGACAGGCTGTCCCAGGCAGCAAGGAGCAAGGCAGCAACCCTCAGCAGCACGGAGCAGGCTGCTCAGTGAATACCAGCTGTTCAGCTCCTTCCTTCTGAACAACTTCGGCCGTTTATGTCTATTATCTCACTAGTCCTCCCAACACCCCAGTATACAGATACAGACCTCGGGACTACCCCAGTATACAGATACAGACCAGCATGCCAAGCACACAGCTGAATGGCCATCACTCGGAGATGCCCTGGGGCTGCCAAGTTCTGCGCTGCCTTCTCTCACAGGCATTGGCAAGGCTCAGCCCCGCTTGAATACCACAGTCCAGCTCCCTCTTCCTCAAGCTGGCATAGCAGAAAGAGGCCCATCATCTTATCTTCCACCTAGCAAAACCTTTGTGCCTCTTTCCCCCTCTGGATCTGGCCTTGACCTTAGAGCCAAGTTAGAACTTGGAAACGACGCCTCTCTGCTGGCTTCCTGGCATCTCAAGCCTTTTCTCACCACAGATCACCTTCCTCAGGAATAGTGAAACGGTTTCAGAATAGGCACAATGCATCCTCTCAACACTAGATGGCTCTAGTTTGGCAGGAGCTTCTTCATACAAGCCTTCTAAAATACAAAAGGAACACTCAACTTCTGTGGCGTTCCTGGCCTGTCTTCCACTCACTTTCAGAGTCATATTTTTTTTGCTCCTGGGAACCCCCTCACCAAGGAAGAATGGTAGATATCTGAGCTCCATTTCCAGATGGAGCAGCAAAGCACACATTCAGAGGGATGAAACAACTTGCCTACAGACACAGGACTGACTGGACCAGGTTGGAGGACATTAACCTAAAATCCTGAGAAGTCACAGTTTCTGCTGATGCTAGGAGACTTCAGTTATCAGTCTTCGATATCCTGCATCAAGATGACCAGTAGAGGGGCCAGTGTTGTCCCTGCCACCCAGATGGGAAACCAGAAAGAAGCTTCTGGCTCCTGCCTTCAGCCTGACCCAGTCCTTGCTGTTGCAGCCATGTGCAGAATGAATCAGCAGATGGAAGATATCGCTCCTTCTGTGTAACTTTCAAAAATGTAAATATTTAAAAAAAAAAAAAAACTTGAAGAAAGTTCTCAGGTGATTCATCTATGACCTCAGAGTCCAAGGCCCGTCTAAAGCGCACTGAATCAAGCTAGAAACTGCCATCGAAATTCCAAAGGACAAGAAATAAAATCAGACACCAGGAAGCTGGCACGGTGTCACAGGAAGCTTATCCTCCATTGGCAGTGCTGGCATCCCATATGGATGCAGATTTGTATCCTGGCTGCTCCACTTCCGATCCAGCTCCCTGCTTACGGCCTAGGGAAGCAGCAGAGGATGGCTCAAGTCCTGTCCCCACGTGGGAGACCTGAAAGAGGCTCCTGGTTCCTGGCTCTGGAGTGGCCCAGCTCTGGCAAGAGCAGTCATTTGGGTAGGGAACGTTCTCTTTGTAAATCTGCAAAGAAAAAGTTTTTCAAATAAAAATAAATAAGATTTTTTTTAAAAAAATCAGAAGCCAGAAACCAAGCTGGGGTCTCTCACGCACTGACAGTATTTAACCTCTAAAGTGCTTGGATATTGCTAACTTCAATTCATGAAGGAGGAAGCTGAGACGCAGTAGTAATCAATAACTCAGGTGAGATTTGAACATTAGTTTGTGTGAAGAGAAACAGAAAGTGGGTGACGCTATGCAGATGGAAAGACCTGGTTTATATCCCAGTTCTCTCTCTCTCTCTCTCTCTCTTTTAAAGATTTATTTATCTTTATTTATTTATTTTTTATATAGAGAGGAGAGACAGAGAGAAAGATCTAAAAAGATCTTCCATCCACTGGTTCACTCCCCAAGTGGCAATAATGGCCAGAGCTGCGCCGATCTAAAGTCAGGAGCCAGGAGCTTCTTCCAGGCCTTCCACATGGGTGCAAGATCCCAAGGCTTTGTGCCTTCCTCAAGAAGGGAGCTGGATGGGCAGCAGGACATGAACCAGTGACCATATAGGATCCTGGTGTGTGCAAGTCAAGGACTTTAGCTGCTAGGCTACCATGCTGGGCCCCAAATCACACTTCTACATGCAAGCTTATTTATACCTCTGGGCAAATCACTTCATCCCTATAAGCAATTTCTTCATCAGAAAATGAGAATAACGGCACCTGTTTCTCACAGGACTGCCGTGAAGCTCCAAAGAGATCACCTAGTGCCTGCTCATGCTAAGTGTGTCTTTGTTTCTTAGCTCCTACCCCGAGAGACAGAAAGTGGATCAGGTACAAGAGCTCCAGGTTCTTCTCCCCACTCACCGCACATGGCACGCTGAGGCCCAGCTAAGGCTGCGGACAAACTGCCACCCTCTCTCAAACAACACGTGTTCGTGGTGAGACTGGGAACGTGACTCATCATTCCATTTGCACAAACTCCAGTCCCACTAAATCTTATTCCATCCAAAGGTATGCACAGCTGGAAGTGAGCATTTCAGAAATAGAAACCTTTCTCTTGGGGCTTCACTCAGAACCAGAACAACACATTCCAAACACTAAACAAGTGGGAACCAAGGGCTGAGAAAGACATCCCAGGGGACCTGGAGACATTAGGTGGGTCCCTCCTTCAGGAGCCTTACAGGACATGTGCCTAGAGGAGCGCCTTTGGGAGAGACAGCCTGAGTCTCTCCTACACACTCTGGATCCCAGGTGCCCAGGAGGTGCGACACGCTGCAGGTGCTTGACCAGCACTGCTGCCCTGCCAATGATCTTGCCGCCTCCACCTCCCAGTGTCTGAGACACATCCCCTTCCCCTGAGAGAAGCACTTTTATTCTCCAGCACAGGATGCAAGGAAGAGCTTCAAGGGGAGGAGAGGCACAGCTAGAGTTCACAGACATTCACATCTCTCCCGCCACAACTTGTTTGTGATGTTCAGATTCTTTCAATGTGTGCAGCGAATGCAGCTGCACAACAGCTGCTGAGTTACCCTCAAACCGCTACTGCTGTTCCAGCATTCCAGCCACGGAGCGGTGAAGGAGGGGGACGTGGGGCAACATCACGAGACTTTGTTTTGGGCCCTGTTACAGGCTTCTGGTATACCTACGATTTGAGCCCATTCCCGTACTGCCCAATCTGAGTGGACTCTGGTGTCCGCTTGGCCGACTTCCCAAACTGGATCACGCTGGCAGCATCACCTGAAGTGACAGACACAAAACAAAGTGAAGAGTCTGTATTTCTACTCCAGGATCTAGAGACGTGAGTCTGGTTCCATCTAAGCAGAGTTCTGTGCAGCTGAAAAATCTTTCATCCAGGAAACTCACAACCATGAGGCAAGCAGAGACAAGCTTTCTTGGCCATCACTGTGACCTGTACTCTGTGGCCAGACTATGGCAAGAAATGTGCAGAACATTTTTGTCCTTCTAGCTCCAGGACATTGTACAAGTTGGTAAACAGAATGTACAAGAATAAGCAATCTGACTGACGTTAGGCTGCCCTCAGATTCTATCTCCCATGTTCAGAAAAGACCCAGCAACTATGCTTCCAGAAGTGGAAGTAAGCCCAAGAATGTCGCAATCATTTTTGTGCGCCCCAAGTAGATCTTCTACTTAGAAAAGGTGGGTACAACAGGAACACAAGGTTACATAAGCAATTCATAAAAAGCAGTTCCCTCATGGCCACACACACTCCCCGACCCCAACAAAGAAAGGTAATGATCTCATCACTCACTTGGATCCATTCCTGCTCCATCATCCAAAAAGCAAAGCATAAACCCTCCTCGGAGATCTTCTCGCCTTTCTGCAAAAGAAGTAGCTGGCATTACTAGGTTGTTATCCATGACAATGTGGCAACATGGGTATGGCGAGAAGCTAGATCAATGTGCAGCTTAACTCTAAGAACTCAGGTCTAACTGCTGCGTCCACCAGCCCTACATGAGATGAGTTAAAACTTCAGGGAACTTGAGCATCGCAATTCCCGTCATAGGTTCTCCAAAGCTTTCTAGACCATGGCAACGCCTGAGAGATTTCCTAAGAAGGGCAGGGATGACCTGTGCAGCATCTGCATTTCAGATACATATACCTCAATTACCCTTCTGCCTTTCCACTTGGATTACTATCACTTCTGCGTTATACCATGGATCTTAAGCCACTTAGGCACTATGCTGTACCTTATCAACACTCCTCAAAACCAATGGGGAATCTCCTTTGTGAATGAAGTCAAAGGGAGCCTTCAGAGAAAGTAATCAAGCCAGACATGATCTGGGCATGACAGTGGCAGGTGCCTTCTACAGATGAGCTGAGTCCACACATGACCATTCCCCAGCTAACTGCAGTTTCTAGACTATTTGCATCATCACATCCCCCACTACCTGTAAGTCATTACAGGGACTCCCCAAGAGTAAAATATTGCACAAGGTGAGGTGAAAGGGGTCTGGTTCCCAGCTGATATTAACTAGAAAAAAACAGTCCTCTGACATCAAGACACACAGCAGCTTTGGCAGAGTTTTCTGGCCAACTGGAAGAGAACAGAACAGCCTGTGGGTACAATTCCACTAACTGGAAGAACCTCTTCCCTCAGCAGCTGTTATTTGCAGCAGTAAGTGGCTAATTCAAAATGGTCTGGGTTCAAATTCCAAACAGGTAAGGGAGCTATACAAATTTTACTTCATCAAGACTGGGGGCTGTGGTGGGGGAGAGCTCTCCCATCTATTGGTTCACTCCCTAAATGCCTGCGAGAGCCAGAGCTGGGCCAGGACAAAGCCAGGAATCCAGGGCTCCATCTGGGACTCTCATATGAACTGAAGGGAACCAACTGTTTAAAGCCATGACATGTGGCCTCCCAGGGTATGCATCAGCAGGAGTTAGAATGGAAAGCAAAGACAGAACTCAAACCCAGGATCCATGGATGCCAACATGGAATGGGGGCATCCCAAACAGTACTTAACCAATGCATCAAATGCCCGCCCTCAAAGTGACTTTTTACACAATGAGATCTAGGTATGAAGAGGATGCCCCAGTCTTGGCTATACAGAAATACAGACACAGAAGAAAATGAGATGAGGTAGTAGCAGAGGTGGGGATCTATGCAAGCCACTCACACTAACCTGCCCAGTACAGATGTTGCTCATTTTTCTAGTACTTCCACTAAAAGGAAGGAAGTCTGTGTAAGGTGTATCAGGGACAACGACAAGGCTGCTTTAGAGTCTGATCTCTGAAGGAAGATTTTTTTCATCTCTGCCAAGCTGTGGTTCACTCAGTTTGTACAGCCATCTAATTTAACGTTATCTATTTCAAATGTTCTTTGCCCTTCCCTCAGGCTAAAAATTCAAGTGAGTCATGACTGCCCTCTTGTTAGATGGGCCAGTTAATGTAATTTGAAATCCTATTTCGAAAAGAAGGGCTTTAAACCACAGGGATCTTTTAAGTATTATACTCGGTGTCCAGGAAGCTGAATATGCATTAAGTACCTCTTAAATGTTCAAGGGTGAAGATCTTCCTGCAAGTACCACTGATAGATTAAACAAACAAACAAACAAACCTCCTGCCTTGTGGCAGTACCCCTTATCAAAATCTACAGAATCCAACTGAGGTGTGGCAAGCAGAGACAAGTACAAGAAATGTACAAAAAGGCTTCCCAACTTAAGGAAGTCAAATGTCATGTGGAGCTTGAAATTGGGTCAGTTACAAAGCATGGTAAAAGTTTCAAGTCAAGAGTCACCTGCTACACAATACAACCAATACAATACAGCCATAAGATGTGCAGGAAGACTCTGCTTTGAAATCTAGAATATAGTTCAAGAAAAAAAAAAGCATCAATAAAACTCCAAAGAGTACTGACTTCCACTGAACAGCACCTTAGCAACATTAACTTACTTTTACTTTTATCAGAACAGGATCCTGAAAGCACTTTTAACACTTAATTTCCACCTAATAATGGATCTAGGATCCTTCTTGCCTTAAAAATTTCATTTCAAAGATTTTTTTCATGTAATTTATAAGTGTTAAGAGACCCGTTGTGATCACAGAGTGACCGATAGTCTGCGAAGAGCTCCCAGTAGCCAGATCTGCTGCTATAAAGCTGTAAGCTGTACACAATATTGCCTCGAAGCCAGCACAGACCAGCTAATTCAGCACAATCATCTTTGTAGGTAGGGAGGATGGTAGCTTCAGTTGGCTACAATGCCTATAAAAGCCACCGTGAAGGCCTGGCCCTAACACAGGGACAAGAGCACCAACTGAACAATGCGGCTGCTCTGCTCACTGTCTTCTAGACCTTATGGTCAACATGGATGCTCCTCTCTCAGCTACTCTGAAGCAGATGGGGGAGGAGCAGAAGACAGAAGGAAGCCTAAAAACACACTAGCTATAGCAACATGTAATGTCCGTAAGAATCACCTGAAGAAAGTTGGGTGCTTGGCACCATGGCCAAGTCACTGCTTGGCAACATCACAAGCCGCTATCAGAGAACCTGGTTCAGGTTTTGGCTATTCTGCTTCCAATACAGCTTCCTGCTAATGTACACCCAGGTATATGTGACGGCTCAAGTATTCGGTTTCCTGACACTCAAGTCTGAGACCTGAATTGTGTTCCAAGCTTCTGGCTTCAGTCTGACCCAGCTTTGGCTGCTATAGGCATTTGGGGAGCAAATTAGTGCATAGAAAATACTTCTCTCTGTGTGTATATATATTTATCTTTGTCTCTTTCTCTTTCAAATAAGATGAAAAGTTACTAAATCATTATGTCTCATTACTAAAGAGCTCATGAAAATAGATCCTGGGGTTCACACTGGATAGACTGATTGCATGGGTCTGAGGTGGGACCTGAAAATTTGTACTTCTCGTGGATGGTGCTCCTAACTACCCTTCAAAAGAAAACTGTTTTTGATGCAAAATAATCGAGAAAGTCATGTAGCTTTTTCATCATACATTTCCAAGAACTTTTTGAAGAGCCACCACACAGACATCTAAGAGATTGTTCAGTAATATTCAAGATACGGCCCTAACCTTTCAAAAGATTTCAAATGACCCTGGTTGAAGAACATACTATACTAGAAAAACTAGAAAAGCTAGATTTAAAATTTGTCTTCCTTTATTCTGCTTCCAAATATTTTGTATCTGGATGATCAAAAAAAAAAAAAAAAGTTCAAATAAGCAAGATAGGAATAAAACTTTTTTGAGTAATAAAAGACCAGTGACAGTAACTACAAATTCTTCTATTACACTTGCTCCAGAAACAAGAGAATCTTCTTACTACAAGAGAACTGTCAAATAAACAAACCCATAGTATCTACCCTTCATAGGATAAATGCATTAAGAGGAACAGGACATTAAAAAAAAGTCCAGAGTCTGGGCCTGGTGCAATGAATGACCTTGTGGCTAAAGTCCGTCCTCGCCTTGAATGTGCCAGGATCCCATATGGGTGCAGCTTCTAATCCCGGCAGCTCCACTTCCCATCCAGCTCCCTGCTTGTGGCCTGGGAAAGCAGTCGAGGAAGGCCCAGAGCCTTGGGACCCTGCACCCATGTGGGAGACCCGGAAGAGGTTCCTGGTTCCTGGCTTCAGATCAGCATAGCATCAGCCATTGCAGTCACTTGGGGAGTGAATCATCGGATGGAAGATCTTCCTCTCTGTCTCTCCTCCTCTGTATATCTGACTTTGCAATAAAAATAAATAAATCTTTAAAAAGAAAAAAGTCTAAAGTCTGACTTACCTGCATAAATATCTATTCTGGTGGCATCTGCATCTCTGTGAAATTCAAATAAAAGAAATTGGAATCTAAATGAAAATTTGACATATCAGCAATCAAAGTGCATAGTATTTTGACTGAAATACCTAGAACTTTTCAGTCATTTTTCAGGAAACCATACAAAATTCATTAAGCTTTATTTTTATACAATTCTCTGAACGTATCTGTGAAATACTTCTGGGGTTCCAAATTATCTAAAATGATTACATGAACATTTTAAATGTTGATTTCATGGTGAAAACATTCAGAAGATTAATAAGTTATCTCCCTTTCTACACTAAGAAATGACTCGAATAGGTTTCTCTCTGACTATAATCATAAAAAGATGTTCTAATAACTTAAACACTTTTTCATTCTTACCAAGATTTTAAAGAAAAACAAAAATGGAAACCTTGTGACAAATCAGGAATCCTGAGACACCACAGTCAGCACACTGATTCCTGGCCCATAATCCTATTCTCTCTACCCTCTGAAAGAAGTCAGGACTAGGGCTGACACCTGCAGTGCTGGCACCCCAGATGAGTACAGGTTCGAGTCCTGGATGAGCCACTTTCAATCCAGCTCCCTGTTACTGTGCCTGAGAAAGCAGCATAGGATGGCCCAATGCTCAGCCCCTTCCCCCACAGGGCTGACAGGGAAGAAGCTCCTGATTCCAGGCTTTCGCCTGCCCAGCCAAGGACCTTAAAGTAATCTGGGGAATGAATCAGCAGATGGAAGATCTCTCTCTGTGTCACTTCCTCCCTCTCTGTAACTCTGCCTTTAAGCAAAATTTAACAAAAAAACAAAGTGGGAAATCCCACTGGCTGAAATGTATAAATTTAGTTATCAATGAAAGTTTATATGAAGGTTTAGATGTCATTTATTCCAATTCTGCGAACTGCAAACAAGGAAAATGAGGCACAGTTTCATTGGTTCCAATTGCAAAATTTTACATTCATATTCTACAGAGTTCTGCATGGACATATTCTCATTTACTAAGTATCTGTTTACAAGCACTTCTGTCAATTCTAATTTTCTCTTCCTTCATTAGTTGTCAAATATTGGTCAATAACGGATGCCTCTGAACAAAAGGTTTCCATATAGGAATAAGAATATTATCAAAATATAATTATAAACACAATGTCAATTTAGACTAGAATCTTCAACTCTCAACAAATCCAAAAGTCTATTTGATCTTTCACCATAACATTCATACGCATCCACCACTAAGGGCCCCGTCCTGCCTGCTGAGTGACTCAGCAAATCAGTGTGCTGTGTTGTCTTAGAACTCCTGATTTGTCACAAGGTTTTTGTTTCCGTTTTTCTTTTAAAAATAAATAAATAAATTTTGGGGGCCAGCAGCATGGCATAGGAAGCTTAGCATCTGTCTGTGATGCCAGCATCTGATATGGGCACCAATGCAACTCCCAGCTGTTCTGCTTCCAGCTCCCTGTCAATGGCCTGGGAAAGCAGCAGTTCAAGTCCTTGCTCCCTTGCCCCCACTTAGGAAACCTAGAAGCTTCTGATTTCCAGCTTCAGATCTGCCCAGCTGTGGACATTGCAGCCATTTGAGGCGGGAAACCAGCAGATGGAAGATCTCTCCTCCTCTCTGTAACCCTGAGTTTTGAGTAAGTAAATAGGGTTCAGAGAGGTGACCTGGCAAGCTAATCCTCTACCTATGGTGCCAGCATACCATGTAGGCAACTTGGGTTCCTGCACCCAGAGGGTGGACCAGCAACAAACAAGCTCCCAGCTCCCAGCTTTAGGTCAGTCCAACTCTGGCCATGGTGGCCATTTCAGGCGTTAAACAGTGAATGGATTAAACGGAAAATCTGTCTCTCGGTAATTCTGACTTTCAAGTGAAATATATAAATCACAAAAATACATAAATCTTTTTAAAAACTTTTTTTTTCCAGTAACAGGCTGCGGAGCAGTGGCAGCTACTACACCGGAGTCTTCCTCTCAAGACATCAGAATAAAGGTCACAAGACCAAAGAAGCTTCCACTCACAGCACACTACACTGAGGGACTCAACTCTCTATCCAGCTGCCTTTCAAATAAATAAATCTTTACAGAAAGACTACATACCTCGCATTGTCAACCAGTTCAGCGAGAGCACCAAACAAGAATTCATGAGTGGTTCTGAAATGATAAAGACCAAGAGTCAACAAAAGAATTTTAAAAACTATTACTCCCACTTTAAAAAAATCAAGGTTACTAAAAGATTTAACACAGAGAAATATATCTGAGATCATAAGGACACTAAACACACTCAACTGCAGATGTGAATTGAAATGCTATACTGAACCCCACAGACACGTGCAATTACATGTTTGTTTTGTTTTGGTTTGTATTTGTTCATTTTGAGGGGATATATTCTAAAATCATTGATTTATCACTGAAATTTACACTTCTCCACAACTCAAGGATTTCCAGAATTAATTCTCTGCAAGTGTTAACCAAGTTTTACTACCACTTAGAAATATTCTGGGTTGAGAAACCCAACCTCAAACACTTTTAGGCATACACCGCTTTAGGTTTTATTTTAAACTATTTAAATTCTGCCTAGAAAAATGTCTGTATTTTATTTTTCATCGCCTTAACCAGCTGTCACTCCAAAGCAAGAACTTTGAATTTCAGCTTACATGTAAGTATCCATACTTCTCAAAAACATGTAAGGGCCCAGAGTGGTAGGCCTGGTGGCCAAAGTCCTCGCCTTGCATGCACCAGGATCCCACATGGGTGCTAATTCACATCCCAGATGTTCCACTTCCCATTCAACACTCTGCTTGTGGCCTGGGAAAGTAGTACAGGATGGCCCAAAGCCTTAGGACCCTGCACCCACATGGGGGACCCCAAGGAAGCTCCTGGCTCCTGGCTGTAGATAAGTTCAGCCTCGGTCATTGTGACCACTTGGGGAGTGACAGAGGATGGAAAATCTGTCTCTCCTCTCTGTAAATCTGATTTTCCAATGAAAATAACAAATCTTAAAATTAAAATAAATGTTAACCGTGCATTAGCCTACAGTCACTCTGAGCAGTCTCTCAGAGAACCAAGCCACTAGCTCTTCCAGAGTGGTAAACTAACAGGGATTCCAGATCATAACACGCTCTTGTCCTTCCAGAAAGAACTGTTCAACAAAGACTTGGAATTCTTTCTTTAATGTGGAAAAAGCTGTTTCTAGCCAGAAAATGGGTTCTCTTTTCTCTTTCAAAAGGAATATTTTTGTAAACAAACTGCACAGAAGAGCACCCATTAATGTTCTGGCTGCTCCACTTCTGATCCACTTCCCTGCTAATGCACTTGGGAAAGCGGCACAGGATGCCCAAATATTTCCGTCCTTGTCACCCACATGGAGTCTAGGCTCCTTCCTGGCTCCAGCCTGGCCCAGTTCTGGTCATTGTGGCTATTTGGGGAACCGGCAGATGGAAGATCTGTTTCTCTAACTCTGCCTTTCCGCTTTTCAAAGAAATAAATCAATCTTGGGGGGGAGGGGAACCCTGCATAGAGATTTATGGGTTTCCTTTTTATACCTGTAGTTCATTCACAGGTACTGATACAGCAAACTCCTAACAAATCATCCCATTGAGCATATAAATTTGTATTTCTTTTAATTTTTGCTGTTACACATAAATGTTCTCACTATAGTTTTAAATGTATAGGGTCTCACAGGATGTGGTTAAGAACTTGCATTTTCTTTAGTATGGAAACAATGGTCTTACCCACTTTCCTGAAGCCCTTGACCCTTTGTACCCTAAGCAACTAAGTAAAATTATTAAAATAAATTAAAAAATTGTGTTATGGTTAAAAAAAAGACCTTGCATTTTCTAACATATTGGTCATTCAATACCGTATCAATTAACTCCAAGATGTTGTAAATTGTTGATGTTATGTTATGGCTTTTCATTGGAGGGGATATATTCTGCCAGCTCTACTTTCAGCCCAGGGATGGTCTCCCAAGGAAACTGTTGAATTTATCTGGCAAATAAGAGGCTGGACTCTATGCATGGTACATGCTCACAATGAAGGAATCATGACTGGATATGAACTGTACTAATGCAACAATGTGGAAGAATCCAACATGGGGCGAGGGCATGGAGAGGGGTTGGGAGAATCCCAGAGCCTATAAAACTGTGTCATAAAACAAAATTAAAAAAAAAAGAAAAAGTATAGGGTCTATCTATTAACATTTAGAAATCTGGGTTGACTGATTAAACAAAATACAAAATAAACACAGTATACTATCATCAATTTTTCATAAATATGCAAATTGCTCCTAACAGTTTACATGCAGTTAAGGCAGTTAAAACTTTTAAAGATCTATGTCTATATTAAATAACCTGCATTTATGATCTCAGACCAGTTAATACAATGTTTTAAATAAACAAAAGAGTTAATTTTAAAATAAATACCCATAAGTGAATTGTCCAGGAACACTGGTGTTTCCTCTTTAACTCTCCAAATTAACAAATGCAAATTTTGAATTAAATATAACTACCAATTCTTGGAATGTGAGAAGGAACACTGCCCCGTGGGATCAGTGAACATGTCTGTTGCTAATCCAAGGGCAAAACAATATTGTTTTAACAAGAAATAGAAATTTGATTGCCAATTCACCTACAAAATAAGAGATAAAAATATTTCTAAAACCTAATTTTTAATCATCTCGCTTCTTTTTAAATTAAATTTCCGGGTGCAGTGCAATGGCTCAATTAGCTTATCCTACTGCAAGCACGAACATCCCATTTGGGTACCAGTTCATGTCCTGGCTCTTCCACTTCCCATACAGCCTCCTGTTTGCGGCCTAGGAAAGCAGGGGAGGACGGCCCAAGTCCTTGGGATCCTGTACCCACGTGAGGGACCCGGGAGAGGCTCCTGGCTCCTGATCAGCTCAGCTCCAGCTACTGCAGCCATTTGGGAAGTAAATCAGAGGATTAAAGACCTTTCTCCCTGTCTCTCCTCCTCTCTGTAAAACTGCCTTTCCAATAAAAAAATGAATAAATCTAAAAAACAAACATTTACTAAATTATTAAGATAACTTGAATAAAACAGCCATGTCTTTAGTTGTTAAAAATATTTACATCTCTACAGTTATCATTTTGCTACATTCTTCAAATTATAAATTTAATAAACCAAAAAGTATTGTATAAATCACTCTACTAAGGAAATGATGAAAAATAAATAGGAACAATAATGTAATTTACAGAGGGTAAAATACATTGACATAACATTTTAAACCATCTAGACACTGACTCTTACAGTGAATTCTTTTCCAATGTTTTCATTTTTTTTTAACTTTGAGGCATTCTTATAAATATTAAAGTCAATTTTATTATATATTTTTATTTCCATAAGTCTGGACTTTAATGTAAAGCCAAGGAATCTTAGAATTTCTTGGAACAAGAACATAACCATATTGAGAATGAGACTTTACCTTGTATAGGCATTCACTGACTTTGGAATAAATAAGTTAATAATAAGCCACCTGACATGGTAGCTCAACAGGCTAATCCTCAGCCTGCAAGCATCAATATCCTCCTTATATGGGGCACCATTTGTGTCCCAGCTGCTCCAGCTCTTTTTTTTTTTTAAGATTTTTTTTTCAAAATAAATAATGAATGAATGAATAAATATTTATTTTTATTGGAAAGTCAGATATACAGAGAGAAGGAAAGACAGAGAAAGATCTTCCATCCACTGATTCCACTCCCCAAGTGGCCGCAATAGTCAGAGCTGCACCAATCTGAAGCCAAGAGTCTCTTCTGGGTCTCCCACGCTGGTGCAGGGTCCCAGGACTTTGCGCCATCCTCGACTGCTCTCCCAGGTCACAAGCAGGGAGATCAGCTCCCTTCTCATCACCTGGGAAAGCAATGAAGGATGGCCCAAGATTTTGGGACCCTGCACCAGCGTGGGAGACCCAGAAAATGGACCTGGCTCCAGGCTTTGGATCAGCCCAGCTCTGGCCACTGTAGTCATTTGAGGAGTGAATCAACAGATGGAAGATTTTTTTTCTCTTTGATATTCCTTCACTCTTTAAGTCTACCTTCGTAATAAAGATAAGTCGGTCCTAAAGAAAAAAAAAGTTTCTAGCCTTTGATAATGAAAAAGGAGAACATGAACGATCAAGAAAACTGATTCTAACACACTGAGCCACAAGAAAATAAAAAGTAAAAGGATGGCTTCACATGAAAATGAAGCATTTAGAGTCCAACAAGTAGATCTCAGATTACAAAGCACCTCTGCGTAACTTTTCATTGTGTTCTGTTAGAGTGGTATGTTAAGAAATGTGACTTGTATATTTAGATTCTTTAAAAAAAAAAAAGTCTTTGTTGTTCCACAGAGAAGCAATCCTGTTCCACACATAAAAATTTCAGATGAGTTAACAAATTATTTTTCTTTTTTTTTAAAAAAGATTTATTTTATTTTTATTGGAAAGGCAGATATACAGAGAGGAGAATCTTCCGTCCAATGATTCACTCCCCAGGCTGCCGCAATGGCCAGAGCCGAGCCAATCTGAAGCCAGGAGCCTCTTCCGGGTCTCCCACATGGGTACAGGGTCCCAAAGCCTTGGGCCATCCTCGACTGCTTTCCCAGGCCACAGGCAGGGAGCTGGATGGGAAGTGGAGCTGCCGAGATTAGAACCAGCGCCCATATGGGATCCCGGGCGTGCAAGGCAAGGACCTTAACCACTGCGCCACCGCGCCAGGCCCCAACAAATTATTTTTCAAACACAACTGAATGGGCCCAGTGCAGCAGTCTAGTGGCTAAAGTCCTTGTCTTGTATGCACCAGGATCCTGTAACAGGCACTGGTTCCTGTCCTGGCAGCCCCAGTTCCCATCCAGCTCCCTGCTTGTGGCCTGGGAAAGCAGTGGAGGACAGTCCAAAGCCTTATTAGGACCCTGAACCGATGTGGGAGACCAGGAAGAAGCTCCTGGATCCTGGTTTCTGAACAGCTCAGCTCTGGCCATTGCAGCCACCTGGGGAGTGAACCACTGGATGGAAGATCTTCCTCTCTGCCTCTCCTCCTCTCTGTATATTTGACTTTCCAATAAAAATAATCTTTAAAAAAAAATACTGCTGAATGCAGCTCAGCATTTTCAGCAAATTTAACAATGTCATGACAGTACATATCATATAAAGGGGGCAGTTTGTAATAACTAATCCATAAGCCAGAAACAATTACACATCTCCAGCTGATTGATGGTTCTTGCAAAAGATTGCCAAATATTTCTTAAAATCTTCAAAATCAAAAACATACAAACAGCGTAATTTTCGAAGAGGGGCCAAGGGCTTAAATTAGTCCAAAGATGTACTGATTGGTCACCAGCATTTGATACAGACTAAATAAATTGTGTAAGCAATTTTTCAGAGTTGAGAATCCTTTGTGTGACCCAAAAGATTAATCATCTGGAAAAAGGGAGATTGCTAAACTCCTGCTTTCAACCAATCACGGCCTTTTTTAGCACTTGTAAATAAACAGAAACCGCTTTGCAGTTCAGCATTTCCAGTGACACAACCACATGCAAATTATCCTGCAAGAAAATGCCTTCCTTACAGACCGAGCTTAAGTCAGTAGATCATGCACAAGCCCATCACACAGCATTAGTTTTGCTGTATTCCTTTATACACATATATATGTATATAAACACACAATAGTTGCCTTGACTTGTAGAAAAAAAAAGCTGAGAAATAACCCGGAATAACCTTTTTACATTCAATATAAGTTCAAGGAGCTAACATCTTTATAGAACTGTCAGTCATAAGAAATGGAAGTCTTAAGTTCACAGGATACTTTACATTCACTTCACACAAGAATAATTAACCCAGAAATATGATATGGTCATGATAATGTTATCAAGAAATGTGCATAAAAGCATTAATCCTATACTGAAGTATTTTACACTACCCAGCAATACTACAACACCCATCTTAAAGGCCATTCAGTATTACTGCATCAGGAACCGCGCTTATAAACCTTACCACCAGCCATCTCCTCAGCTATCCGTCCCATTCTCCTTACTCCTGGTCCCCTTATTAAAGACAAACCAAGGGGTCAGGGGAGGACACCTCACCACAAGATAATCTTTCCCTTAAAACAATTAACTTGGGGTTAAGGTTGTGGCATATTAGGAAAAACTGCTGCCTGCATATGGCAGGCATTTCATATAAGCACCATCTGGTGTCTCAATTGCTCCACTTCCAATCCAGCACCCTGCTAATGCACCTGGGAAAGAGAAGATCGCACCTGCACTCATGTGGGAGACACAGACAAAGCTCCTGCAACCAGCCCTGTCTGCTGCAGCCATTTGGGAAGTGAGCCACAAGATGAAAGATCTTTCTCTTTCAAATAAATAAATCAACAAAAAACAAATCATCTCACAACAGCAACAACACACGTTTAAAGAAAATTAGCAGATTTTCAAGGTATCACAAAAACTTGCAAGGCTAACTTTAATCCTTAACCCCAACGTAACCAAGAGAAGAGCCATTAAGTTGTTTCAAAAAGCTCCAGTATTTACACAGGACATATGCCTAATGACTAGCACCAAGCAGCAAAGTACCACCACAACAACTTTCAGTTCATACAAACATAGAGGGTAATCATTATCCACTAGGCAGTTGTACTATGTATTTTGCATGAGATTAAAAAAAAATTTTACAGGCCTGGGGTGGTAACCTGAAGTCCTCGCCTTGCATGCACCAGGATCCCATACAGGTGCTGGTTCATATCCCAGCTGCTCTACTTCCCCTCCAACTCTCTGATTGTGGCCTGGGAAAACAGCAAAGGACAGCCCAAAGCCTTGGGACCATACACTCATGTGGGGGACCCAAAAGAAGCTCCTGATCAGCTGAGCTTCAGCCATCGCAGTCACTTGGGAAGGAAGCCAGCAGATGGAAGATCTTTCTCTCATTCTCTGTGTAAATCCAACTTTCCAATAAAAAAACTTAATAAATCTTTTACCAAAAAAATTTACAAATATTATTTGGCAGAATCCTTCAAACCCTGTCAGATTAACTCCATCTAAGAAATGAAAAAACTGAGGCTCAAGAAATTGACCTTCCCAAGGACGCAGTTAGGAAGCAGTCAACACCGGGGTCTTATCACTACACCAGACTGATTTCTACCCATGAGAACTAGGCTCTGATACTTGACATGAATTGGGAAGTCAGCAAAAGCCCATTTCCTTCAAAGTTCAAAATACAGTCACATTACAGACGTCAGATATCCTAGGGTGGTCTTACATAAAATTTTCAACAAAAAATGAGGATACTGTAAAACAAGTCTTCAATCTTCAGAGGTGACTTTATGGGCCCCTTAGGAAAAAAGTTCATTTTCCATCACTATTAGTAATAATCATCATAGAAGACTTCATTTCAGTTTCTTCTAAACATAAACTTTAGGTCACCATGATAAAGAAGTATCTTGAAATTAGTCATACACACAAAAAAATTATCTTCGTGTTCTGGGGTTCATACTTTCTTCAGATATGACTAGACACATTCAAAAAAAACTGAGCTTAAAAAACCAAAGCTGCAATTCATATAGGAAACTTCAGTTTCCAGAATGATACTGCAACCCTTAGATACTCAGCCAAGCAAGTGGTTGGCTGCTCACAGAAAATTTTCCAACAATGACTTAAAGTTGCTGCTCTGTCTTGAATACTATCCACTTACTGTTAATGGTATTAAAAAAAAAGAGATGACTCACTGAGATAAACTAAAATCAGACTAAAATTGAAATAGGAAGTAAACCATTTGCTTTGTGAAAAAACGGGTCCTTCAAGGTCAAATTGACTAGTGCCAGCCCTGTCTGATGGTTAAAAAGACTAACCACTGTGACCAGGTAAACCATTTTTGCCTTAACCCTTAGAATTCTATATCTACCATTAATTCTGCAATCCATACTATGCAATGTAATGTCTTTGGGCCTCAGTTTTTTTCAATGCAAAATAGAAATAATTCTTAACCCCATGGGTTTGCTCTAAAATTACAACAGTCATTGGTATAAAGCAATCAACTGCTGTTACTGTTATCTTGTTATCACGCAAATCTTTACCAGAGCTGGAAGAAGACTCTCTATTCTAAAATCCAGCTCCTGATAATCCAATACTATCATTGGATTATCCTATCATAAAGTCTGTAATTCTAAATTTGCCTTGTCATTCTAAAATAGAGAACAGAGAGAATCATGTACCACAATCAATCATCCATGAACATCCAAGTGGCCTTCAATTGTTCTTTAGAGAGAGGTTTAGATGTAATAACATTATGCCCAAGCCCACAGCATCAACTAGCTTTCAGATACATCGGCCTAAGTATGAGAATTCACCTAGTGACTTCCTTACAAACCCCTCAAAATACAGCAGTTTAATAATAAAATTTCTAAAGTAAAATAAAACCAGACTCTCAATATCTGGCATTTCACCTATTCTTTTTACTTCCTGGACTGAAAAACCAGCAAAAAATTCAACATCATGGAATCACATCATGTTGTCACTTCCATAAAAGGCAAAAATTGACTGTACTATTCGGTAACTGACGTCTGTACTCTCAACCTTCAATGTGGTTCTCTGGATAACTGGGCCAATCCTTTAGCTGCTCACCTCTCCAGTACTAAAAAATAGAATACTAACCTCTGTACCAGGCTACTGAGACACTAATGTTGGTCCTGCCAGAATTCCAAAACTGCGTTTAAAGAAGGATTAATCCTCAAACATTCCAGATCAAACTGAAATATGTCTTCATAAACTCAAGAACCATGAACATCTGCCTGGTTCTGTGATTTCACACATTTGAAGATAAGACTATCTATATCAAGAGTGCAAACAAGCTGCCATTTCCTCTGTAGCATATAAACTAAACTGGATGAAGGAATCGATTTTCTGTATAAAGCCAATGGCTCGCTGGGAAGCTTTTCTTCTCCCATGTAGTCATTTAAGTGTCTTCATGTTTTTAAACATCTTGTCGGAAACGCTTGATATAGAGCCTGGGGTGGTAGGCTGGTGGCTAAAGTTCTTGCCTTGCATGTGCCAGGATCCCATATGGGATGCCAATTTGAATCTAGATGGCGCCAGTTCTAATCCTGGTGGACCCACTTCCCATCCAGCTCCCTGCTTGTGGCCTGGGAAAGCAGTGGAGGATGGCCCAAAGCCTTGGGACCCTGCACCCACGTGGGAGACCAGGAGAAAGCTCCTGGCTCATGGCTTCGGATTGGCTCAGCTCTGCCCATTGTGGCCACTTGAGTAGTGAATCAGCAGAAAGATCTTCCTCTCTGTCCTCCTCTCTGTATATCTGACTTTCCAATAAAAAAAAATCTTAAAAAAAAAAGCTTGTTATAAACCCAACTGTTCAAGCTGTCATCACTAAAGATGACATAGTTAATACTAAAAACAGTCCAACTTTTGGTGATCCAAAGAGAAGTATTTGTTGTATTCCTATTAAATATGTGAATCAAACAATATAGCTACTTCAAATAGCTAGGTTGCATTTAGGAAATTTTCATCCAATCAAGGAAAACCAAATTCTTCTGGATTAGCAACACAGTGCTCTAGACATCCAGTGATCTATTTCACTCCAGTGACACTTCCCACAGAGCAAAAAAGGCAAGATTCTCTGGGGAAAAGATCTCCACATTACTATCAACGAACGATACTGGCGACCCCCATGGCACCTATAGTATACTTACGAATTTGTGTGCAGATACTCAAACGTTAGCTGAGCTCGATTCAGACTGCTGTAATTTGTGAAGGCCATGGCTGCAATGAGGTCTCCAGTCTTTTACCAACTAGTTTCTAACCCTAGAGGTTTTCTTGGGATTCGTTTCGATTACGCCTATCCACACCTAAACAAAGCTACCTAGGGACGATCTAAAATATCGAGAGGTCTTCAATGGCAACGGATGTCTTCTTTAAACGTACTGGTGATCTCTCGCAGTCCTACGCAGTGTCCAGCATTTAGTTTTGATAGCTCAGTTCCGACGATCTCAATCAAATGCAGGTGGTTCTTGATCTGGCAGTTTATTATGGCTTCATCTTTAGGTGCTTCCAGAGTTGTTTTCTTCTTCTTCTTCTTTCCTTTCTTTCAATCCTTCTAGGTTTTTCAGAATTAAAACTTACCAACCTGGAAATTTACCTACTTCTGTCGAAAGCAATCACTCAAGTCTTGGCTACCAGTAGTTACAGTCAGGCTCTTTTAAATAGGCCCCAGAGAGGCAAACACGACAACGTCGACGGTTTCCGCCTTCGAGGATGCTGGTTTCGCCTTCGTCAGGCTCCCAGGTGCTGACTGAAGATTTCTTCTTTTCAAAGCCTGAACAAACCCAGCTAGCCGTTGGGCCACTAGTCTCGCCTCAGGATGTAGAGCCCAGTGACCTCACAAGAGGCCCACAGCCCAACCTCACAATGGAGCCGCCCCAAATCGCCTGAGGTGGCCAGCGCCCCTCCCCCACTCCCCTCAGGGCGCGTCCCTCAGCCTCTCGGTGAAGGGGGCGACCCTCGGCTGCGTGGCCGCCTCCTCCTCCTCCTCAGAGACGCCGAGAGTCCTGCCCGGCTCGCGAGCTGAGGGGAGCGCACCGCCGGCCCAGGCGTTGCCCGGAGCTCGCTGCTGCCTTTGTCCCTCCCCGCGGAATTGGAACCCGACAACCGCAGCGCGCTCTTGGAACCATGTGCTGCCTCCGCCGCCGCCGCCGCCGCCGCGCTGTGGCTGCCGCCGCTTCCTCCTCCGCCACCACCACCTCTTCAGGCCGAGACGATGACAAGACACGTCGCGTTTAAAGGCTGTCCTGCTGCCTCCGCCCCAGCCACCTCCCAGCCACCCGCTTTTGTCTCCACCAAGGCCCAACAAGCCCCGGCCACCTCGCGCACTCCCCGACGCCCCAAGAACCCCCGAGGCCTCTGCGGTGGACGATCCGCCCAATCACAAACGCCACAGCTCCTCCCGCCCCCCCAGCCGCGCGAGCCCGCTTCCTGATTGGCGGCCTACGTTGTCGTCTCCACGTGACCGGATCTTGGCTGGCCGGGCCCCGCCCCGCCTCACCCCCACCTCCTTTCCTCTCTCGGCGTCACGTGAGGGCGCGCTCCTCTCTTCCTGCTTTCCTGACCCCTCTCCGCCATTTAAAGAAACAGTACCGGGGGGCGGGCCGAGCGACGCAGCCGGGACGGTAGCTGCCTCGCCGACCGGAGGAGCCATCTTGTCTCGTCGCCCGGGGAGTCAGGCCCCTAACTCGAAGAAGCCCTGGCGCGCCCTCCCCCCCTCCCCGGTCTGGTAGGGCGAAGGAGCGGGCGCGCGGTCGATCGAGCGATCGGTTGGCGGCTCTTTCTCCTGCTCTGGCATCCCGCTCTTGGGGCGCAGGCCCGGCCGCCGCCGCGGCGCGCGCCCGGTGGCCGTTGGCGGTCGCGCCGCGTCTTTCTTCTCGTCCGCAGAACTCGGGCGGCGGCCTATGCGTTTGCGATTCGCCGAGGAGTCGTCCGGGTGGTCGGCGGGGGCGGGCAGCTGCTCCGCCCCGCTGCCGGAGAGGCGGCGGCAGCAGCGGCGGCGGCGGCGGCTGCTGGGGAGGCGGGGGTGGCCGGGGCCGGCCTGGACGCCTGGCGTCATCCTGCGGGGCCTGCAAGGACCCAGCTGGGGGGACAGGAAGGGGCCGGAGGATGGTTGGTGGTCGGCTTTCTCCTTTGCCTTTTCCTCCTCATGCCGCCTTAGTGAGGAGCGAGCGCTTTGGCGGCAGCTCCGGGGTGGAGAGACGAACGCCGGAGTCGGAAGACGAGCTGGCTTTGCTTCCGGGCCTGGTCCCCAGCTGGCCGAGTGACCTTAGGCCGGGCACTCTGTCGCCTGTGTGCGCCTCAGTTTCCTCCTCTGCCTATCGTGTGTGGGATTGAAAACGCTTTGGTCATGGCAAAGCGGACGTGTACGTAAAAAAAAAAAAAAAGAAAAAAAAGAAAAAAAAAGATCATTGCTTGTGTTAAAAATATTTCTTTTTTGAGTTGTGAGAGAACTGACCAATTGCCCCATCCTCGGATTTCGCACACCCTGAGAAACCTTGGATTGGAGCTGGAGATCCACAAACTCCTTGAAATTTGTATGCGGAAGTTTGTGCAGATGTGCATTCCTGAGGGGTTGGGGAGCCGTCGCTAGCAGGTTTTTCTCTGTGGGCCATGACTCCAGAGGCTATTAAGAGCCACAATTCCTTGATGCCACAGGGAGGAAACTGAGGCCTACGTGTCATTTGGGACCCTTCGCAACCCATTTAAACACCCTTGTTTGAGTCCCTGGGATTATGTGAGCTGTTTCTATGCATAACAGATATTGGGGGGTAACCAGTGCTCCCCTGCTTGGCTTCTATTCCGAATCCCTTCTTTCCGCCACGGGGTTCTTAAAGGGTAGCTGATGCGTATATATATGGTACAGTAGCACCCAAGGTAAAGCAGCTACAAGAGGAGAGGATATGTTCTGTAGAATCAAGAAGTTCGTTTAATCTTCTTTGACCCAGCAAATCCTTTGTGTTCCGCTGTTTATACTGGTGCCTGACCACCTTTCCCCATTCTTTATTGACCTCCCTCCCCCCCAGTGACTGTGTTTGCCACCTGTTCCTTGCTCTTATTTTGTCTCCCTGGTCTGTGTGGTTGGTAGTGAACAGGCTTACTTTCAGCGGGTGCTGCCAAGCCCAACAAATACTGATGCACGGGGATTTTGTGTTTGGTTTGCAAACGTGCTCACTGGAACAGACTGAACCTGGCATGGAATTCCTGAAGATGTGTTTGGGGGGGATTTTCTTTATTTAAAGTTAACCTTCTTTGAAAAGTTGTATTAGAACTGCTGAACTTCAAGATCACCAGATTTGGAAGTTATTCCAAATCTTTAACTTTCCCTCAACCTGCCTTGTATTCTTATTGCTTGTGTGATGATTCAGATGGCCAAAATGCCAATTTTTGCTTCTGTGTTAATTGTCAGCTGCTTTTATCAAATTCCAGGCCATTATCCAGTAAACACTATTACAAAAATGTTTGAACGGTTGGATTTCAAACATTTTCACTTTGTGGAGTGGTGCTTAGCAAGTGGTACAGCTCTAAGCAAGTGAACACAGACACATTTCAGTGTATTTTGTCTGATTGGAAATTAGCCAATTCTGCTATTTTGTTCAAACATCTGAAAAAAGTATCAGTTGGCTTATCCCCTTTATCTAAAGGGCAAAGACAAATTATCTCAATTCCAGAGAAATGACTGTGTTGGAGAAAAATGTGTTGGTCTTTTAGCTGTTTTGTAATTTAATCTGGATGTACCTCAAAAGAACCTTAAAAGTGTGGTGATAAGGTGCTTTCCTCAAGAGAAACGAGGAAATAAGCAACTGGAACTCAAAAGCTTGAAATTCTGAGACAGAACACAACATGTCCAGGATTGGGATTTGAAAAGGTTTTTGCTGCAGCATTCTACAGCAGTTGAAGCAGATATCTTTCAGTGCAGCCGCAGTGAGCAACGACAGATTTTCAAGAACTTGACCCAGAACCCAGAAGAGTTTGTCGGGTACTGGCAGGAACTCTGGAGGTAGATTCTTTTTGTGGCGGGAACAGGGACTGTTGACCTTGCTGTGAGAAAAGAAGCAACAACTGAGCAACACTGCCACCAGCGCCATTTGAAGACCTGAGTTTCTGTCCAGACTCAGTGCACACTGATGACACTCCATCCAAAGTGAATTACGGTACTTGCCATTATCCAAAAAAACAATACCTTACTTTTTTTTCTTTTATCATATTTACCCTTTTGTTCATACTGTCTACCCTGGAAATGTTATTTTCTGAATCTTCACCTGTCATAACTGCCATTTCCTCGATATCTACCTTGGATGCCCTTGTCTCCATGAATCTTAGCTTTAATCAGACAGTTCAGTTTGTAACATGCTGTTATATAGCTTTTATCTACCTTTGCCTACAAAATGTTACTTGCAATGCATTTACTTTTCACAAATAGCTGGACTTTTTAATGTATGTGTTTGTATACACATGCCACCATCTTAAAAGGAATTAAGAGAGCAGTCTAAAACTCAGCATTCACTATTGCTGTGTAGTAACTGACAGGACTCTTCATTGGAAGAATAGTCACTAGATGTGGACCACATTTCATGTTTTTCTTTTAATGATAAATATAAAAATATAGGAAGTCCCTGGACATAAAGAAAAATTGATACGTTGACTAGCATAATATGTACAGAAGGAATATGAATACCAAGGCCTTATTTTCTCATACTCAAGATGAAATCTTAGTACAAGTGTTTGGCACAGCAGTCCTAACTGCCACCTGGGGGAAACACCTCCCATTTCAGAAAACCTAAATTGTTCCAGCTTCTTTCCCAGTTCCACCTTCTACTAATACATATTATTCTAGGAGACCCAAGTTGTTGGGTCCCTGCCCAAGACAATATGAATTGAGTTTTTAGCTCCTGAGTGTTTGAAAAGTTTAATCAGCAGATGGGGAAGTATGTGTGCTTGCATTTTTCTCTTCCTCTCTCAAATGTTTCAAAAGATAGAATGTTCTGAAAGTAAAGCTTTTTAAAACAAGATAATGAACAATTCAGAAAAGCATTGGAAAAGAAAGAAGAGTAACATTGTTTTGTTGTCAGTTTGTAACCTTAAAATATCACCTCTTTTTGTGCCATCTTTAGAGCTACTTTATCTTCTGTACCAACTAATCCATCTGATGCCTAACAGTTTGAATATGGTCAGATCATTTCCCCAAAGTGTGAGGTGTAGGGCATTTCCTGTTTACTGATTGCCTGAGACAATTTGTTCTTGGGAGTCAAGAAACAATCTTTGGCAAGGAACTTTCTTTTTAAGATCGCTGACTATTGGTGATGCTGTTGGCTGTTTAGGGGCATCAGGGCGTCATCCCATTCCACCTTAATATATCTGTCAGTTTCTAAGCCAAGCTTGTAAAGTAGTAGTACTTATCAAACAACTGATAGCAGCAGTCCTGCCTCAGTGTTAGAGTCTTGGGTTTGAAATTATACACACTTGTTAACTATTTTGTCCTTGCCCCTTCTAGTCATGTGCCTCCTCTGATTGCTGAGTGTTCACGTGGACCTTCTGATCACCTTCCTTGTGCTGTTCCATTGGCCTACAAATCTGGTACTGGATTTTTACCCATGGTGATTTCTACCACCTTACTACTGATGAAGACACCATTCCAGCGGACCACTGTGATCCAAGAGGCATTCAGCCATCATGATGTGGCCTTTACCTCCACTCCTGTCTTGTTCCACACAGATTCAGCACAGCCTTTTATAGTCTTGTCAGAGTCCTCAAGCCAAATAGCTGAAATGATTTCATCACAAGGAACCAATTTGTTGCATAAATATGCATTTCGTTTCTTCAGTTAAATCCTTCAGAGACACATAAGTTTGGATCAGGGGATTTTTTTTTTTTTTTAAGTTGTCTACGCTGTCCGAAGAAGGCAAACTCTGTGAACAGCATTGGATCCTATTCCACAGTATCAAATGATTGAAGTTCATGAACTGGGATTCCATCAAGGTCACTAGACCCTGTTCATTCTCTATAACTGTAGTAGCCTATTGAATAAGAAAGCAGAAATTCTGACCCATTGGAATCAAAACAAAGGCACAGTGAACTCAACACCCTCTTCGGGATTACTCAGGAACCAGAACTGATTTTCACACAAATTATAAGAAATTCTACCAAGGAATCCCTTTTGCCAGACAGCATTTCACAAGCCTCCAATCAGATTCCAGAAAAGACCTCTTGATACATCAAGGTGAAACCTATATGGTAATCCCTTCTGTTTATATATAGCACTTTACAGTTTAAAGCACTTTTACATGCATTGAGCTCACTTATCAAAATAATACAAAAATTATCCTTTTGTGAAATGAGGGAATAGAAATATGTAAAGGTTAAGCAGCTATCCAAGGTGGCACAGCTATAAAGTGGTAGAGGCTAAGCCTTCTGACTCCTAGTCCAGTATTCCCCTTGGAATTGGCCTCATCTTTACCTAAAGCGTTAAAATGGTTAGAGATTGAGATCCCCAGAAGAATTTCTAACTTCATTTTTCAGTACCCTTAAGGCAAAACAAAAATACTTACATGATAATAATCATGATAGCTGCATCTAGACCAAAATCTCCACTTCCCTGAGATCTTGAAGCAAACTCCTGGTGGCAATAGATGCTTCAGTCACTAAGGCTGAAACACAGTACTTTCAGATCTTTAGTTGCTTTCATGGTCTTTCCAAAGATGGCTTAATTGGTTGGGGAATCTCATATTATTTATATGTATGGTTTTTGGTTTTTTTGTGTTTTAATACTTATGAACACAAGAATATATCTGTGGTTCTGTTGTCCAGTAAGGTGGTAAAATACTATAAAATGTCTCCCTTCTCCTGCTCAATACCATAGCAGGGTGTATTAAATATCTTCATACTTGCAGCAGAGAGCCCCATTTCACTGTTTAGCTCACTGTAAGCCCCAAGTTGAATCATACATAAAATAGTACTGTTTCAGCATTCCTTTTGATGGAATGGGAAAATTGCTTTAAAGCACTATAGCCAGTGTAACTGACAGCAGATTGCTCTAGAGATTCCATAATACGCAGAGTATGGGAACACAAACACCACTTCCTTTTACCTTGTCATGAGTTGCTTGAATTAGTGTGTTTCTGAAGATTCTACATCTTGAATGTTATCTTACATTCTGAGGGGGATAGGGCAAAACTAGCCAGCCCCAAAACTGGGCAAATTCCATGATATTTAACAGTATACTTCTTTGTCCCTACACTTGTGCCATAAACTTTGCTTTTGAGCATCACATCTTGAGGGTGGATAAGGACCTTGGATGGGGAGAGTGAGAGATGGGATGGAGAAAAAGATAATTTGGAGATAGTAGGAGTGAGTTGTAGCCCACTGAGATTTTTATCATTGCTTGAAGAGAAGTCACCTAGCCATTGACTTCTTGAACTAAAATTGACAAAGAAATGGATTCATTTTATAGCTGTATGTGGGCTGGGACGAAAGCAAGGAAAACTAACCGCTATGGCAGAATAAAGCCAATAGTTTTGTTCTCCAATAGTCATTTAAAAGCCAGCTTCAAGCAATTAGAATTTGTAATAGGCTTTGCTCACAGTTTCTGGTTTCTGTGATCTATTTTTTCTATTTCAGCATTTTGTGAACAGCTTACTCTTAGATCATTGGTTTTCCAAAGGCTTTGTAACCATGATGCCCTTTGAATGAAAAGTTTACAGAAGCCCAGAATAAAAGTGAAGCTCTTCTGGGTGAAGCAGTGAAGCAGTAATGTGGCCTTGAAACCTGCCAAAAGCATCTTTACCACCGTGGTGACACCTATGGGGACTTCTTAGAACGTCTAATACTCTTCAGAACACAGTTTGAAAACCACTGCCCTAAGATAACATTGTTGACCTGAATGACATTATGATGTTTTCTATACCTCTACTCAACTTGCTCCTTGACTAGTCGATGCTGTACATTGTTAGGAATACTTACTGTGTGCAATCTTAGAAAAGTTGCAAGAAGATGAACATGAACTCAACATTAAGGAACTTTTCTCACACCAGAAGTTCTAGTGGTACTTGCAGTAATGACGTTGAAGTCTTGGCCCTTCAGGATACTAGTATTGAAGCTGATACCTCATTGAGGCCATCTTAGACCAGCTTGTACATTGGACCTCTCATCATCAGCCATAGTACTCTACTTCATGTGCAAGGGAGACCCATTAATGATGAAAGCAGAATTGCAGTGTTGGCAACATTTTCTAAAGTGGCTTAATGCCTGATTATTTTTTCAGACTACAACTTGCTACATGATTGAACTAGTGGCAGTTACACTATTTTTTGTTCAGTTTAACTGCTGTTTCCAAGATAAATTACCTAATTACTTTAAACCAAAATAATTCCTCCATCACTGTTATATCTGTCCATTCTACAAAATTGTGGCTATTCGTAACTGCTGCTCCTCAAGAGACAATCTTTGAACATCCCCTCTCACGTGTGATTAAAATGTACATTTGGAAAGTTTCCTTTGGGAGATGTTCTTTCAAGGTGCAACTTGATGTCTGATAACAACTACATGTGGGTAGGGATAAATGGAGGAAGTCCCTTTGACCAAGCCATGATAGCTTGCTTGCTGGTCATTTTTAAATACTTGTATATATGTGGGGTTTTTTTTGTTGTTTTTTTGTTTTTTCTGGAAACACAAACTGACTTGAAATCTATAAAGATTGCAGCTAAGAATTTTCAGTAGGGCTAAGATCTATCATTGTGGATGTTTAAAGGAAACACATCTGTCTCAATACTGTTATTTTAAACTGATTGAAAGCAACTGACTCTAATCTTTGGCAAGAAATCATGCTTAGAGATTAAATCAACTAAACTTTCTGCAAGAAGGATTCACTTGAACTCTCAGACCAAATCATGTTGAACAGAGACTAATTTATAAGAAAAGTTACATTCCTTCAGTCAACTTAAGGGCCAGCTGTCCTCAACTACTCTGTTGAATGCACTGGTCAAATACGGGAATGGTTTCTTTATATACTTTCTCCTGATCCTCTGGACTAAGTGTTGGGTATGTGATTCACTGCAAATCATCAAGCAAGGCCTAGGTCTGGTTGTTCTAGATTACTCACCTTCAACAAATGAAAATAAAATATGAATGACTAGCCTGTTCGGATATACAAATCTCATTTGTAAAAGGGGGAAAAAAGGCTTCTATAGACTCCATTTCTGCTACCTTCAAATTGCCAGCTGTTTTTCCTCTGCTTTTCCTGTACAAAAGAGACAGTGACCTACTACTCATTCCCTCCAGTCCTGCTATGTTCTGTTAAAATGAGAGTTTGAATCATCAAAAATAATGTTTTAAAAATTTGATAATCATTTGCTCAAGTGTCTAATGTATACTGTGCATAAGAATATATGTGTGTAATGATTGGAAAAGCAGAATTCCTAGAAGTTAGTGAAGCCTACCTAGTATCGCTGCCTCAGATATCATCTAACCTTTTAATAGCACCATTCAGATACTCTGAGGCCTTGACTTATAACTTGATTCTCAGAGATGGGCTTACTTACAGAAAATGAAGACTTGCTACCAAAGAAAGTAAGGCCAACTTTGACAAACCTGGCTCTGCCAACCCTGTTCCTGGATGTAGCATAGATTCCTAAACCTCAAGTCTAGATTGGAAATATGGCCTTCTCCAGAAAGTTTCTGGGTAGATGAGGAAAATTAAGCTGCTCTACCTGACTGGCCCTTTAAAGTCAGAAACTTTTATCCAGAGGAAGTTCTACAAATTAACCCTGGACTCCCCAGGGTAAAAACTGATTTATAGAGCTTCATTATTTGCCTGTTCTTCCAGGTCATTTCCTGGCTTTTGGTATGGCTGGCCTTACTCGAGTTACCTTGCTTGTATGTTTACCCAACTCAGCTGTTGCCTGCCATTTTTAACACATTGCTGCCATCAGACTGAGCATGAGAAGACTGCAGCCCATTTCAGCCTATCGTGCCCAATTCCACCAAGAATTTTTGAACAGAAAAAACCCACTCTTCACCCTGCCAGGACATAAGGTTCACAACAGTAAAAACCATTCTATACGTTCCTTGACCAGTAATTTTTTTTTTAACTGTCAAGTAAACCTCTATACCTAACTGTGTTTGAGCATCAGCACTTGGAACCTCTTCTACTAAATCAAAACCAGTGTCCATGTCTCTGCTACAGTGATAAAAGAACCTGATTCACCAGTCCTTCCTTACAGAACTACCAGTTTGATTTGGCAAAAGACTTAAAGAAACACAACCATACTACACTGAGCTTACAATTATTGCTGACTCTAATAACTTCACAGTACTATTTACTGGTTGGAGGTTAGTTGTCCTCATCAAGAAGACAGTTGGGGTCTCAGCTCATGAAATGCTTTTACTGGAATTCACTGTCATCTAAAGAATGTTACTGAAGATGATATTTTCATCCAAGTGGACTGCAGGCTTCCTAAAGAAGGACAAATCCTCTGTGGTTCTTTTTGTTTGTTTGTTTTAGAATTTTACTAGGAAGAAACAGTGCCAGCATTACCATTCACCTTCCTAATCAGTTTTTAAGTGCATTCAGTATCTGGTCTTATCCTGGACTTGAAATTTTTTTAATTGCTCAGTATTCATTCCATCCTACTGTAACAGCTCCCTGGTGTTTCTTGAAACCACCTCTTCAGTTTTGCAGTCCATGTACGTTATAGACGGTCTCACCCAAACTTGAGCTTCATTAACACAGACATGTGATTTAATCATCAGATTCATCTCCTTGACCATAGTCATTGGTTCCAGAATGCTCATGTGATTCAAGTTGGTCCAGTGATGCTCAATTCTGGGATTTTACTGAATTGTGGAGATGGAAAAATGCTCCACTGAGATACTACAGCTATGGAGAATGATAAACCAACAGGGCTTACCACGTTGAATGAGCCAGTCAGAGAATGAAGCCGCACAGAGGAAAGCAGAACCAAAAGATGGAGAGAGACTTGAGTCCTGATGACTACATTTGTGCCCCTGGATCCAACCGTGCCTGAAGCTAGTATATCCCCTGGACTTTTCAGTTATGTGACCCAATAAATATCTTTTTTTTTTGCTTAAGTTATTTTGAGTTGAGTTTCTATTAATTTAAAATTGAGTCCTAATATTGTATCCACTTACATTGAAACTTGACAGATCCAAATATGTTTTAAGCTACAAGTTATGGTGACACTGGAATTGTTTTCCAAAGGGACTGGGAAAGTGAAACAGGAATTGAGAATAGGTACTACAGAAGCTTACCAAGTTACATGTTAGAAAATAATAAAACCTAAATATCCATCCGTAAAGGATTGGTTAAATAAGATGGTTCACCCATGTAAGAAAATCTACTTGTCTGTTAAAATGAAATGTTTTTAGTGTGCAGACAAGGAAAAAAGGGGGAGGCATGAGATATTAAGTGAAACAAACTACTGACAAAGAAGTGTATAGATGAACTCATTTAAATATGTGTGCTCGTGGTTATAAATGCATTGAAAGTCTACTAGTGGCTTTCTGAATAGTGTAGGTTATGAGATTCTCAACAGTAATGTATTTGGAAATTTTACACTTCCACATTACACGTTACTTTTAAAATTTATTTTAAAAATAAAGATTTTTAAAATTTGACCTTGGCAAGTTACTTAAATTGGGCTCGTTTTGTACCTTTATATCAGTGAATAGTAACTACATTACTCAACCCGACATCACAACACATTGAGAACTCAGAGTTCAGTAGCTGCCCTTGATTTTTTGTAATTCTCTTTCAACTGAGTGACTCTGGGTTACTGTTATCTATCCTGAAGAGGAAAGGAAGTAATAGCAGTATATAGTGATACTACAGTAATGACGAGAGACCCATGCACACACCATTTGTCCTTTGGGTTCATGTACCTATTGAACACAATATTTGGAGAACCAGGTCACTGATGGCCATAGGGTTATTTTAAGTGTATAAAGAAGGCCAAGACCATCGAGTTCGGATGGTGCTTGGATTACACTGGGTAATTTAAGAGAATAAGCTCAAGTCCAGAAACATACCTGTTGATATAGAATAAAATCCAAGGCTTTTCTGAAATTGGGGTGAATGAATCATTTTGTGCCTGAGTCAAAACTAGCATTTGGAAATGAAGTCCCTAAAATGCAATTACAGTTTTATTTGGAATTTCAGCAATCCTAAAGTCTCTGAAAGTTAAGAAAAGCAAAACTGACTTGCCAAGTGTTGACATATGGTAGGACTCTGAAGACTTGAAGAAACTCAATTTCAAATACCAGAAATGAAGGTTTGGGTCACCTTGTGCTAAAAATTCATGACTGGGGCTGACACAATGGCTCAATTAGTTAATCATCTGTGTGAAGTGGTGGGATCCCATATGGGCACCAGTTTGTGTCTCCACTGCTTCCCACTGCTTCCCTTCCCTTTCAGCTCCCTGCTTGTGTCCTGAGAAAGCAGTTGCGGACAGCCCAAAGAGTTGGAGAAACGGTACCTGCTCCTGGCTCCTAAATTTAGAAGAAGTTCCTGGCTCCTGGCTTCGGATCAACTTGGCTCCGGCTGTTGTGACCATTTGGGGAGAGAACCAACAGATGGAAGCTCTTTCTCTGTCTCTCCTCTACATAAATCTGATCTGCCTTTCCAATAAAAATAAATCTTTAAAAATCATTCATGTTGAGAACTGCACATCTACATAACAGACCATTCCCACCACTCTGCTTTCATTTAGAATAACACTTTTTCTTTTGGTATGGTGTTCATGCTATGCAAACCCAATAGACAATTCTCTACAATATGTGAAAGGTATGTGGGAGACACATACCTGCCCAAATTTTCTGATTTTCTTGAATTAAGCTTATCTAATTTTTGCCATCTGCCTTATTTCAGAATAAAACCCAAACTGTCTTGGCTTACAAGGTTCTTTATCACTCAAACATTGTATTTCACCAATTCAAGCAGAAGCAATTTAATGTTCTGTATTGAGGTTTTGGAAATTTTAAGGGAAAGGTTTCTATTGAAACACAAGTGGGACTGGTGCTGCGTTGCAGTAGCTTAAGCTTTTTACATGCAGTACGAGCATTCCCACATTCATGTACTTACCATCCAACTTTCTGTTTATGGCATAGGAAAGCATTCAAGGATGGCTCAAGTCCTTGGAACCCTGCACCCATATTGGAGACCCACAAGAAGCTCCTGGCTCCCAGCTTCCAAGCAGTCCAGCTCCACTTATTGTGGCCATCTGCAAAGTAACTAGCAGATGAAAGACGTGTCCAAACTCTGCCTTTCAAATAAAACTAAATTTTCCCTCCCCCCCCCATGTGAATAATTAGGAACAACGAAGTAGATAACTTGATATGAATATTAGACTTTCTCCACTATCTCCATCAGTGATGCTCTCTTCTAAATTGTATTTGAAATACACAACTCAGAACTATGATCATTCCTATTGACAACATATATGAAGAACTACAAATTTAAATGTTAAAATGGAATATCATGAAAATATTTTAGGAGACTTAATTTTATGAGAGACCCTCATAAACAAGACAGAAAACCTGGACCTAAAAGGAATATCATTCAGAGGAGATGGTTGATTCAGTTTCAGAACAGCTATATTATGGAGTGGCGTGCCACTATCTAGAAAGAATGTATTTCTAGCTCTTAACCTGAGGCATGTCCATGATGTACTTCTTAACTAACAAGATCATTACAAAATTACCTTGATAACCTTTTGTTAATACAGAAAAACATGGGGGAAAAAAATCTGCAAATGTGTCTAAGCATGAAAGCAAAATGGAAGAATGAACCAGACTATTATGGTTGAAATTAAGGGATTCAAAGAAAGTACCTAAGACATTAGCATTGTTTCACCAGTGGGAAGTTCTACAGACACACACACACATACACACACAGCTCTCAAATCTTAAAAGCAATTAAATTGTACTTGGATATTTTTTTACATTACAATATGCTAGTAAGGGCCCAGCACTGTGGTCCTCACCTTGAATGTGCCAGGATCCCATATAAGTACCAGTTCTAATCCCAGCAGCCCCTCTTCCCATCCAGCTCACTGCTTGTGGCCTGGGAAAGCAATCAAGGATGGCCCAAAACCTTGGGGCCCTGAACCTGCATGGGAGATCAGGAGTATGCTCCTGGCTCCTGGCTCCTGGCTTTGGATTGGCTGGCCATTGTGGTCGCTTGGGGAGTGAATCATTGGACGGAAGATCTTCCTCTCTGTTTCTCCTCTGTATATCTGACTTTGTAATAAAAATAAATTTTAAAAAAATGAAATATAAAATTAAGTGGAATTAAGATTCCTATGAAGTATTTCCATCAAACTGTTTGTGAGAAAGATAAAGTTCAGTTGTGAGGGGATACCTCAAATACCAATGATGTGAAGATGATAGAAATTTATCTCCTAAATGAAGTCCAAAAGTAAACTGTTTAGTCTTGTTATTATAATGTTATATTCATCCAGAACCTAGGCTCCTTTTGACTTCTTGTTTCATCATAATCCACACATGGCTTTCTTTTTTTCCCAATTTTTGTTTATTTGTTTATTTATCTTACATAAGTGATTAGAGTGCAAAGGGTTAAGGGCTACAGGAAAGTGGTTAAGACCATTGTTTCCACATTAATGCCATCATCACCCCCCGCCCCATATCTGGGGTCAGGGGAGAAACAAATGAAGAAGCCCCACCAACCTCTCACCCATCCCATGTCCCCAATGCGGGGCATGTTCCCAGGGTGCTGCTCATGCAGTTTTGAATTGCTGCCACTCTCGCTGTTCCAAGCACAATGAAATCTCTTCAGAATCCAATGGCTGACATAGTCTCTTTATGGTTGGGGTTCTGAGATCAGCAGTTCAGTTGGAGAAACTTCATCTGAAGAGATCCCAGACCTCATTCTTGTGTGTGCTTGCCAGTTCAGGGTCCAGCACAGTCTTTCACCCCAATCAGCATATGCATATCTTGGTGGTTGCAATTGCTGGGTCAGTCCTGTTTCCAGCCCTTTCTTCCACGCGAACTAATGGTTGTTGCAATCCAGCCTGATCCTGCCCACTTCATAATCAGCCCTCACGCAAAGCAGTGAGAGCTGCAGCCTAGTCTGGGCAACTCCCTATAACCCCCATCAGGCCTTCTCCCTCCCCTGGTTCCCATGTTTACCAGTATGTACCGCAGACTTGTTCAGTCTGTCCCACTTCCCATTTAGCTCTTGTACATGTCAGTGGACATTGAAACCTAGTTCACCTCCAACCAGCCCTACTATCCAGCCCACACACATACTGGCAGGTTTCGTTCTATCTAGCCACCCCTGCCCCAGTGCTGGTTTTCATGCTGTCCAATGGGAGTGGTTACCCATGAGGGAGGTGCCCACTATTTCCCTTCTAGGCCATTCCCACTCCCGGATTATGCACTCTTCAGGTGGTTCTGCGGTTTAACTTGACAGCATTTCCCCCCAGTGCCAGCCTATGCCAGCTGATGCTGCGGCAAAGCCCAACCAACCCTCACCCTCTCTAATTTATGATTACACCAGTAGGAACAGTCAGTCCAACCTGACTTTTCTCTGATCTAGCTCACATGAAGCCCACAGGTGTTGTAGCCCTGCCTGGTCTGGTCTGCCCCATCCCAGCTCTCCAATGGGAGTGGTATCCAGCAAGTGAGCCCTCTACATTCCCCCTACTGGCTTTGCCCCCTCCTTCCCTGGTTCTCATGTGTGCTGATCGGGTACTGTGGCCCAGTCTGGTATTGCCCACCTTACCTTGGTATTTGCCAGTGGATTTTGTAGTCTGGCCCAGCCAGGCCCACCCCTAATTCCAGCTGATGCTGGTGAGGGTTACAGCCTAGCCTAGCCCAGCAGGCACCCAATCCAAGCCATAATGTGCACTGGTATGATCATCCACACATGGTTTTTTCATATTCTGTAACATGTTCAACTTCCAGCCATTGAATTGACATTCTGCCAAGCAAAATGGGTGGAGAAGCAGGGTAGAGGAAACAGACAGGCATACTCCTTTTGAAAGTCAAGTCTCAAAAGTGTCTCAAGAACTGTTGGGTAAAATTCAGTCTGTGAGTGTGATGGTTAGCCAATC